ATTGTATTTTATTACGTTTTAGAATTGTATTTTATGTTTAATTTTTGTATTTTATTACGTTTTATTTTTGTATTTTATGTTTTATTATTTACTATTTTATCATCTCCCTTCTACGTAATGACTTTACCGAAAGAACCAAGAAGATGAATCCCTGCAGTCGCGAAAGCTTTAAATCGAAAAATAATAATCGGCTTTGAATTCTGAAACGAAATCTTTGACTTGAAGCTTTCGTGCCCACGGCAATTCATCAGCCTTGGGGGGTCTTTCGGTAAAGCCGCGTCGATAGGCTCAGAGAAAATAACAAGAACACCTCCTAGATTTGAAGCTTTCGTGACTGCAAGGATTCAAACTCTTAGTTCTTTCGGTAAAGTCACTACGTAGGTAACAAAATTAAATTAAAATTAATAAAAATAAAATAAACATGGTTATTTCGTTCTTTTTAAATCCTTTATATTAAGTTCACTTGCTTGCTTGCGCGCTTACGACCGTGCAAATCTTTCGGTCGTTTTTTAACCCACTTCCCGTGATCCAATCGAGTTGACATTTTGCACACAGACTCGTTGTGCGTGACAATGAATTTTCGTGAAATTTTTTTTACAAAATTTTACACTTTTTAGGGAAAAAAATGATATTTAAATACCAATTGCTTAATGGTGGCAGGCAATCATCTGACCCATAGGTGGCAGCCATCTCAAGCCAGAGGACGAGAGGACTCTAGCCGCCACGCATATAAAGGATTTATAGTGAAAAACTTTGTTTTTACGGGTTAATTTTTTTATCATGTGCATCAACAGGTGCTTGTGCACAGGCATGTCCACATACACCTACACCTCAATACGTTCCATTCATTGACTACCACATTCTGATAAGCTCCCCCTCTCTCCTCCCCCTTAACTTGTATTTAAGAGCTTGCATCTTGGAATCCCTGCCTCACTTGATGCAGCAAATCTGGCTGTGACGGTCCCACCTGATGACGGAGACTTGTGTTGCCTCCGAAACGTCCTGATTTTATTATTAGTTTATTTTTATTAATTTTTATTTCATTTTTTACCTACGTAGTGACTTTACCGAAAGAACAAAGAGTAAGCAAACCTCCGACCGTCTTCGGGGAAAAGGTTCGGAGACCGCTGGGGTCGCGCTCGAAACATCGTCAGTTTTTTGTCATTTCCTTTGAACCCGTCCGCGTGACTTTTACCGCTAAGGCCCCTTGGGATATGGATTCTGAAACTACCGTTGCCTAAACCACCGTCAGCGCGGGTGTTTGTCTCTCCGCGGGCGCAAAAAAAAAAATGCGGCGTTTTATCAAAAGATACAAAACAATAAACTAAACGCGCGCGTGTGACAGGGGGAGAAATCGAGGTTTGCTGCACCGCGATTCAGAGCGCGCTCGCACGCACACCGAGGGGAACATAAATGAAAATAAATTACGGCTCAAACTTCCCTCGCCACTGGGCCTCTAGCGAAGGCCTGCTGTTTGTGTAACTCTAGTGCAAGTGGTGTGCCTGTGCGCGTGTGTGTGTGCAGTGTGAATGTGCAGTGTGTGCAGTGGGTGTGCTCTGTGCGTGCAGTGTGTGTGCTGTGTGAGCGGTGTATGCGCGCGTGTGTGTGCGGTGTGTGTGCGTGCAATGTGTGTGTGCAGTGTGTGTGCAGTGTGTGTGTGTGCGGTGTGTGTGTGCATGCAGTGTGTGTGTACGGTGTGTGTACGGTGTGTGTGTGCGGCGTGTGTGTGTACGGTGTGTGTGTGTACGGTGTGTGTGTGTACGGTGTGTGTGTACGGTGTGTGTGTGCGGTGTGTGTGTGTACGGTTTATGTGTGCGGCGTGTGTGTGTACGGTGTATGTGTGCGGTGTGTGTGTGTGCGGCGTGTGTGTGTGCGGCGTGTGTGTGTGTACGGCGTGTGTGTGTACGGCGTGTGTGTGTACGGTGTGTGTGTGTACGGTGTGTGTGTGCGGCGTGTGTGTGTACGGTGTATGTGTGCGGTGTGTGTGTACGGTGTATGTGTGCGGCGTGTGTGTGTACGGTGTATGTGTGCGGCGTGTGTGTGTACGGTGTATGTGTACGGTGTATGTGTACGGTGTATGTGTGCGGCGTGTGCGTGTACGGTGTGTGTGTACGGTGTGTGTGTACGGTGTATGTGTACGGTGTGTGTGTACGGTGTATGTGTGCGGCGTGTGTGTGTATGGTGTGTGTACGGTGTATGTGTACGGTGTATGTGTGCGGCGTGTGTGTAAGGTGTGTGTGTGCGGTGCGTGTGTACGGTGCGTGTGTACGGTGTGTGTGTGTACGGTGTGTGGGTACGGTGTGTGTGTGTACGGTGTATGTGTACGGTGTATGTGTACGGTGTATGTGTGTACGGTGTGTGTGTGTACGGTGTATGTGTGCGGTGTATGTGTACGGTGTGTGTGTACGGTGTATGTGTGCGGCGTGTGTGTGTATGGTGTGTGTGTACGGTGCGTGTGTGCGGTGCATGTGTACGGTGCGTGTGTACGGTGCGTGTGTACGGTGCGTGTGTACGGTGTGTGTGTACGGTGTGTGTGTACGGTGTGTGTGTACGGTGTGTGTGTACGGTGTGTGTGTGCGGTGTGTGTGTACGGTGTGTGTGTACGGTGTGTGTGTACGGTGTGTGTGTACGGTGTGTGTGTACGGTGTGTGTGTACGGTGTGTGTGTACGGTGTGTGTGTACGGTGTGTGTGTACGGTGTGTGTGTACGGTGTGTGTGTACGGTGTGTGTGTACGGTGTATGTGTACGGTGTGTGTGTACGGTGTGTGTGTACGGTGTATGTGTACGGTGTGTGTGTACGGTGTGTGTGTACGGTGTGTGTGTACGGTGTGTGTGTACGGTGTGTGTGTACGGTGTGTGTGTACGGTGTGTGTGTACGGTGTGTGTGTACGGTGTGTGTGTACGGTGTGTGTGTACGGTTGTGTGTTGTACGGTGTGTGTGTACGGTGTGTGTGTACGGTGTGTGTGTACGGTGTGTGTGTACGGTGTGTGTGTACGGTGTATGTGTGCGGTGTGTGTGTACGGTGTGTGTGTACGGTGTGTGTGTACGGTGTATGTGTACGGTGTATGTGTACGGTGTGTGTGTACGGTGTATGTGTACGGTGTATGTGTACGGTGTGTGTGTACGGTGTATGTGTACGGTGTGTGTGTACGGTGTATGTGTACGGTGTGTGTGTGTACGGTGTGTGTGTGTACGGTGTATGTGTACGGTGTGTGTGTGCGGCGTGTGTGTAAGGTGTGTGTGTACGGTGTATGTGTACGGTGTATGTGTACGGTGTATGTGTGTACGGTGTGTGTGTGTACGGTGTGTGTGTACGGTGTATGTGTACGGTGTATGTGTACGGTGTGTGTGTGTACGGTGTGTGTGTGTACGGTGTGTGTGTGTACGGTGTGTGTGTACGGTGTGTGTGTACGGTGCGTGTGTGCGGTGCGTGTGTACGGTGCGTGTGTACGGTGTGTGTGTACGGTGCGTGTGTACGGTGTGTGTGTGCGGTGTGTGTGTACGGTGCGTGTGTGCGGTGCGTGTGTACGGTGCGTGTGTACGGTGCGTGTGTACGGTGTATGTGTACGGTGTGTGTGTACGGTGTATGTGTGCGGTGTGTGTGTACGGTGTGTGTGTACGGTGTGTGTGTACGGTGCGTGTGTGCGGTGTATGTGTACGGTGTATGTGTACGGTGTGTGTGTACGGTGTGTGTGTACGGTGTGTGTGTGCGGTGTGTGTGTACGGTGTGTGTGTACGGTGTGTGTGTACGGTGTGTGTGTACGGTGTGTGTGTACGGTGTGTGTGTACGGTGTGTGTGTACGGTGTATGTGTACGGTGTATGTGTGCGGTGTGTGTGTGCGGTGTGTGTGTACGGTGTGTGTGTACGGTGTGTGTGTACGGTGTGTGTGTACGGTGTGTGTGTGCGGTGTGTGTGTGCGGTGTGTGTGTGCGGTGTGTGTGTGCGGTTGTGTGTGTGCGGTGTATGTGTACGGTGTATGTGTGCGGTGTGTGTGTACGGTGTATGTGTACGGTGTATGTGTGCGGTGTGTGTGTACGGTGTGTGTGTACGGTGTATGTGTACGGTGTGTGTGTACGGTGTGTGTGTACGGTGTGTGTGTGCGGTGTATGTGTACGGTGTATGTGTACGGTGTATGTGTACGGTGTGTGTGTACGGTGTGTGTGTACGGTGTATGTGTGCGGTGTGTGTGTACGGTGTGTGTGTACGGTGTATGTGTACGGTGTATGTTGTACGGTGTGTGTGTACGGTGTGTGTGTATGGTGTATGTGTGCGGTGTGTGTGTACGGTGTGTGTGTACGGTGTATGTGTACGGTGTGTGTGTACGGTGTGTGTGTACGGTGTATGTGTGTACGGTGTATGTGTACGGTGTATGTGTACGGTGTGTGTGTACGGTGTATGTGTGCGGTGTGTGTGTACGGTGTATGTGTACGGTGTGTGTGTACGGTGTATGTGTGTACGGTGTGTATGTGTACGGTGTATGTGTACGGTGTGTGTGTACGGTGTATGTGTGTACGGTGTGTGTGTACGGTGTATGTGTACGGTGTATGTGTACGGTGTGTGTGTACGGTGTGTATGTGTACGGTGTATGTGTACGGTGTATGTGTGTACGGTGTATGTGTACGGTGTATGTGTGCGGTGTATGTGTACGGTGTATGTGTACGGTGTATGTGTACGGTGTGTGTGTACGGTGTGTATGTGTACGGTGTATGTGTACGGTGTATGTGTGTACGGTGTATGTGTACGGTGTATGTGTACGGTGTATGTGTACGGTGTGTGTGTACGGTGTGTATGTGTACGGTGTATGTGTACGGTGTATGTGTGTACGGTGTATGTGTACGGTGTATGTGTACGGTGTATGTGTACGGTGTATGTGTACGGTGTATGTGTGCGGCGTGTGTCAGCACGCCGCGCCACGAACCCTTCCCTCGCGAGTTCGACCCTCCCCCTCGCTCACGACGACGACCATCACCAACACGCCGGTCTTGCCGGCCCCCCCCCCCCCCCCCCCCGGTGCGTCGTGCCGACCTTAGCGGGGCGCTGCAAGGAGACCCACACGCGGTGCCCGTGCGGTCGACGCGGGTCAGAGGTCGCAAACGGGTTTTGATTCCTTACCCGTACCCGTACCCGGCCGCACCAGGGTCGCAAACGGGTACCCGGTACGGGTAGCCGGGTAGGCCGTGAGTCACTGGTGAGTCACCGTTTGTCACTCATTTCCCAACGTCTTGTCTCTTCTCACAATTCAAGTTCCTAGAATCAACCCACCCGCGTCTGCAAAATGGCTTCATCCCAGAGGTCGCAATCGGGTACCCGATACCCGATACCCGGCCGGGTACGGGTAGCCGGGTATCGGGTAGGGTACGGGTATCGGGTACCCGGTTGCGACCTCTGACGCGTGTCGGTATGCGCGTGCGACAGTCGTCTCTTGCGCCGTGGGTCCACCGGCTCTTGTTTTTTCTTCTTCCAGAAGCGACCCGCTCATTACAAACGATCAATCGGCCGAGTGGCGTGGACATTTCTAGCGACGTTGATTCTAAGCGTGGGGGGAGGGGGAGCAACCGCAGGTTCCCGGAGAAAAATCCACACGGCCACGGTGAGAAGAGAAACGCAAACTCCAAATATACAGCAGCAGGCCTCAGGGTCGGGATCGAACCCAGGACCTCCTGCGCACCAGGCGAGGGAGTTAACATCTCCTAGCCACCGTGATGACGATAAGAGATTCAAACTATAAATAAACAGCAGGCCTCAGAGACGGGATCGAACCCAGGACCTCCTGCGCACCAGGCGAGGGAGTTAACATCTCGCAACTGCGATGATGTTGAGAGAGAGAGACGCAGATTCCAAATATACAGCAGCAGCAGCAGGCGTCGTCAGGGTCGGGATGGAACCCACGACCTCCTGTAGACCAGGCGAGGGAGTCAACATCTCCTAGCCACGCACGGCGCCCCGATCTCTTGACGTAGCGCGCATTGACGGTGGTTCGTGCCCCTTGAAGAGACCGGCAAGGCACCGCGGTTGTTACACGCGACCTGTTGACCTTTCGAGCGCAAATCTCGGGACGTCAGCCGAGGTTGTGTTTTGACAGGGCGACGGGTCGCGCCGGGGCTGGTGCTCTCTCTCTGTGTCTCTCTCTGTGTCTCTCTCCGTGTCTCTCTCCGTGTCTCTCTGTGTCTCTCTCTGTGTCTCTCTGTGTGTCTCTCTGTGTGTCTCTCTGTGTGTGTCTCTCTGTCGCTCTCTGTGTCTCTCTCTGTGTCTCTCTCTGTGTCTCTATCTCTCTCTGTGTCTCTGTCTCTCTCTGTGTCTCTGTCTCTCTCTGTGTCTCTGTCTCTCTCTGTGTCTCTGTCTCTCTCTGTATCTCTCTCTGTGTCTCTGTCTCTCTCTGTGTCTCTGTCTCTCTCTGCGTCTTTGTCTCTCTCTGTCTCTCTCTCTGTCTCTCTCTGTCTCTCTCTGTGTCTCTCTCTGTGTCTCTGTCTCTCTCTCCCTCTCTCTCCCCGTCTCTCTCCCTCTCTCTCTCCCCCTCTCCCCGTCTCCCCCCGTCTCTCTCCCCGTCTCTCTCAGTGCGGTGGCGCCCGGCGCTGGCTGCGTGCGCTGCCCAGGGAGAGGCGCAGGTGAGGGTTGCGCGCCCGGTAGTGCTCGTTGAAGTCGAGGCGGAACGAGAGGAAGCGGAGACTCTCGTCGGCGCTGCGCGTCAACATCACCAGGAACTGCTGCACGATGTCCTGCTCGCAGACACGGGGACACGGGCGGAGACTGTGAGGGCGGGCACAAGCCGGCGTGAGTCGGTTAAACGTTGAGTTTTATAAGGGCACCACGGGGTGACCAGCCCCTCACCACCCAGCCCCACCCCTCCCACCCAGTCCCACACTCCCCACCTAGCCCCACCTAGCCTCTCCCCACCCTCCCCACCCAGCCCCTCCCCATCTTCCCCACCCAGCCCCTCCCCACCCAGCCCCTCCCCACCCTACCCACCCAGCCCCTCCCCATCTTCCCCACCCAGCCCCTCCCCACCCAGCCCCTCCCCACCCTACCCACCCAGCCCCTCCCCACCCAGCCCATCCCCACCCGGCCGGATACGGGTACGGGTAGGCCGTGAGTCACCGTTTGTCACTCATTTCCCAACGTCTTGTCTCTTCTCACAATTCAAGTTCCTAGAATCAACCCAGCCGCGCCTGCAACGTGGCTTCATCCCAGAGGTCGCAATCAGGTACCCGATACCCGTACGGCCGGGTACGGCCGGGTATGGGTACGGGTAAGGAATCAAAACCCGTTTGCAGCAGCAGGAGGAGGAGGAGGCTGCACCTGGTAGGACTGCGTGAGCACACGGAGTTGCGAGCGAGTCTTGGACACAAAATGGGAACGGAACTCGGAGATTCTCAGCTCCTCGTGACGCTCTCGCGCCTCCGTGGTGCCCCACTCGCCCTGCTCACGCACACACACACACGCACGCACACATACATACATACACACACACGCACGCACGCACGCACGCATACATACACACACACGCACGCACACACACATACATACACACACACGCACGCACGCACGCATACATACACACACACGCACGTACACACACATACATACACACACACGCACACGCACAGGCATACATACACACATACATACATGCACACGCACACACGCACGCACACATACATACACACACACGCACGCACGCACGCATACATACATACACACACACGCACACGCACAGGCATACATACACACATACATACATGCACACGCACGCACGCACGCACACATACATACATACACACGCACACGCACAGGCACAGGCATACATACACACATACACACGCACACGCACAGGCACAGGCATACATACATACATACACACGCACACAGGCACGCACATATACACACGCACGCAGGAACGCATGCACACACACACACGCAGGCACGCACGCACACACGCACGCAGGCCCCGACTTTCCGCGGAGGCTATCCCCCACACCGGAGCCTGTGGCCCTGTTGTCTTGGTTACCGAGCGCTGGCGCCCCGCGACCTCCTCCTGGTGCTGCAGGCGCAGCTGCAGCTCCTGCAGGGCGGTGCGCTGCATGCCCTCCTGCGCCGCCTGGAACTGCACAATCTGGTCGAAGATCGCCCTGAGCTGGGCCAGCATCAGCTGCACGCGCCACGCACGCACACACACACACGCACAAAGATAAAGACAAAGATCCCCCGTATAGCCTTAACAGACTGTAGGGGCAAGTGCTGTTAGCGAGCACCTATGAAGGCCGGAACGGCACACGAGGGGGTGGGTGGCCAGCACCACGACCGACCGCCTTTGTCTCCCTAGTGACAATGTTTACACACCGCACCAGGTACTCATTTCAGGCTGAGTCGACCTAGGGGAGGCCCCGGACCGGTTCAGATAATCGTCACTGGTGTTGGCCGTGAGCGGGAATCGAACCCGGGTCGCCGGGTTCATAGCGCAGCGCGCTAACCGCTACACTACCGAGGGTGCCACGTTGGCTAGGAGATGTTGACTACCTTGCCTGGTACACAGGGGGTCGTGGGTTCGATACCGACCCTGACGCATCGGGTACCCGGTTGCGACCTCAGACGGCCGTGGACACGGGCGCATGGAGTCACCCACCCCCACACACACCGCCCCCCCCCCACCACACACCGCCCCCCCCCCCGCCCCCCCCACACACACCGCCCCCCCCACACACACCCCCCCCCACACACCGCCCCCCCCACCACACACCGCCCCCCCCCCCCCACACACCGCCCCCCCCCCCCCCCCCGTGAGTCAGCGTGGTACCCGTGAGTCACTGGTGAGTCACCGTTTGTCACTCATTTTCCCAACGTCTTGTCTCTTCTCACAATTCAAGTTCCTAGAATCAACCCACCCGCGCCTGCAACATGGCTTCATCCCAGAGGTCGCAATCGGGTACCCGATACCCGTTTGCGACCTCTGCCACACACCCCCCCCCCGCCCCCCCCCCCACACACCGCCCCCCCCGTGAGTCAGCGTGGTACCCGTGAGTCTGCGTCGAGGAGACAGCGAGAGACGCAGGAGGAGAGGAACTCCTGGTGGGCCGCGATCACATGGTCCAGGTCAGGTGCCGCTCGTACCTGGGTGAGCAGGCGGTCCCACGAGCACTCCAGCACCTGGCGGGCCGAGAGAGACGGGACACGCACTCGTGACGCGTGTCACACACACACAGACACATGCCACGCGTCACACATGCACACCACGCGACACTCACACACGCACTTGTGACGCGTCACACACACACACGTCACACACCACGCGTCACTCACACACACGTCACACACTGACCCCCCACGCGCTCACTCACCTCGAAGGTGATGTAGTACTGCATCTGTAGCACACACAGTCACACACTGACCCACGCGATCACTCACCGCGAAGGTGATGTAGTACTGCATCTGTAGCACACACTCACACACTCACCCACACTCACCCACACACACACAGTCACACACTGACCCCCCCCCACACACACAGTCACACCAACACTCACCCACACACACAGTCACACACTGACCCCCCCACGCGCTCACTCACCTCGAAGGTGATGTAGTACTGCATCTGTAGCACACAGTCACACACTGACCCCCCCACACACACAGTCACACACTGACCCCCCCACACACACAGTCACACACTGACCCCCCCACACACACAGTCACACACTCGCCCACACACACAGTCACACACTGACCCCCCCACACACACAGTCACACACTGACCCCCCCACACACACAGTCACACACTCGCCCACACACACAGTCACACACTGACCCCCCCACGCGCTCACTCACCTCGAAGGTGATGTAGTACTGCATCTGGTGGATGAAGTGCATCATCTCGGACGCCAGCACGTAGCTCTGCTGCAGGACGCCCGACAGCTCTGGCCAGAGGCACGAGGGGAGACGGTGAGAGGGGAGGGGTGGAGAGGGGGGGGGGAGGGGTGGGGTGGGGTAGAGAGGGGAGGGGAGGGGAGGAGAGGGGTGAGGTGGAGAGGGTAGGGGTGGGGAGGGAGATGGTGAGAGGGGTGGGGAGGAGAGGGTAGGGGAGGGGAGGGAGATGGTGAGAGGGGAGGGGTGAGGTGGAGAGGGTAGGGGAGGGGAGGGAGACGGTGAGAGGGGAGGGGAGGAGAGGGGAGGAGAGGGTAGGGAGATGGTGAGAGGGGAGGGAGATGGTGAGAGGGGAGGGGAGGGAGATGGTGAGAGGGTAGGGGAGGGGAGGGGAGGGGAGGGAGATGGTGAGAGGGGAGGGAGATGGTGAGAGGGTAGGGGAGGGGAGGGGAGGGGAGGGAGATGGTGAGAGGGTAGGGGAGGGGTGGAGAGGGGAGGGGAGGGTAGGGAGATGGTGAGAGGGTAGGGGAGGGGAGGGGAGGGGAGGGGAGGGAGATGGTGAGAGGGGAGGGAGATGGTGAGAGGGTAGGGGAGGGGAGGGGAGGGGAGGGAGATGGTGAGAGGGTAGGGGAGGGGTGGAGAGGGGAGGGGAGGGAGATGGTGAGAGGGGAGGGGTGGGGTGGAGAGGGTAGGGGAGGGGAGGGGAGGGGAGGAGAGGGGTGAGGTGGAGCGGGTAGGGGAGGAAAGGGTAGGGGAGGGGAGGGTAGCGGATGGTAGGGGAGGGGTGAGGTGGGGTGGAGAGGGGTGAGGTGGAGAGGGGAGGGTAGGAGAGGGGTGAGGTGGAGAGGGGAGAGGAGGGGAGGAGAGGGGAGGGGTGGGGTGGATAGGGTAGGGGAGGGTAGAGGAGGGGTGGGGTGGAGAGGGGGGGGAGGAGAGGGGTGAGGTGGGGTGGAGAGGGTAGGGGAGGGGGAGGGTAGAGGAGGGGAGGAGAGGGGAGATAAGTCATATTTTAAAAACTTTATTAAAAACACGCTTTCATGGAATGTACTAGTAATGGCAGAACTCCACGACTCCAGGAAGTGACCCCGTAGCTTGCCACAACGTAAGGGGCCGTGGTGATGTACAGCCAACGTCAGTTGAGCGTGGACAATTATACCCAAGCCGAAACATAACGTGTAAAAAATAATGTTTAAAAATATATATTTCGAATTTTTATGATAGAATATGGTATTGTCATCAGTACGACACAAGTATACCAAGTTTGCAGTCGATACCACATTGGGAAGTGGGTTAAAATTGAGTTACTATTATACAAAAAAATATTTAAAAAAACACGCTTTAATGAAATGTACTGTCCGAGCTGCCCCTCCCCCTGCCCCCTTCCCCCATCGCCCCTCCCCTCCTTCCACATGCCCCGCCCCTGGGCGTGGCTCCGAGGCTTGCCGTGACGTCAGGGACCACGTGGTGATTGGCAGGCAACGTGAGTTGAGAGCGTGGACAATTGGAGCCGTAAAAAAGATTGTTTAAAAATATTTTTTTTTAATTTTCAATGATAGAATATCGTGTTGTCATCAGTATGACGGACCTATACCAAGTTTGCAGTCGATACGACATTGGGAAGACGATAAAAGTTTTTTTACCCTTTTACCTGGCAACAAACCTGACACCTTTTTTACAAGGAGTCATGTTTGCATTGACCACAATACCTGCAGCCATAATGCAAACAACAAACATAACTCTGATAATGTCTGCACTGTCCTTGAAGTTGATTGGTCCACACCCGAGACAGCTTTCCTTAGAGCCTAGTCTCACATGGTGTTGGACCAGATGACGCCAAAAGGCGCACAACTCAAAGACAATGCTCCATCCGTACCTGACCGGGTACGGGTAGCCGGGTATCGGGTAGGGTACGGGTATCGGGTACCCGGTTGCGACCTCTGGTCTCCCCCCCTTCACCCCTCGGCCCGTGCCCCCCCACCCCGCCCCCACCATCGCCGCTCACCAGGCATGCTGCGCAGAAGCTTGCTGTGACACATCTGCGCCTTCCAGATGTCGGTGAGCGAGTACTCCATGCGCTTGGCTCTCCACAGGAAGTTAAACACGCGCAGGTACTGCATCATGCACTCCTGCGTGAACACCTGCGCACGAAACGAGGGACCCCCCCGCCCGCCCGCCAGCCATCACCAACCGGTCAAGCCCCGACACACAGGCTCACGTGACCTTCGGATAGCGCGCTCATGGCGCTAATCAGAGGTCGCAAACGGGTTTTGATTCCTTACTCGTACCCGTATCCGGCCGCACCAGGGTCGCAAACGGGTACCCGTACCCTACCCGTACCCGGCCGGGTATCATGTAGGGTACGGGTATCGGGTACCTGATTGCGACCTCTGGGATGAAGCCATGTTGCAGGCGCGGGTGGGTTGATTCTAGGAACTTGAATTGTGAGAAGAGACAAGACGTTGGGAAATGAGTGACAAACGGTGACTCACCAGTGACTCACGGCCTACCCGTACCCGACCGCACCAGGGTCGCAAACGGGTACCCGTACCCGGCACAGCAGCAATAGCAGCAGCAGCAGCTACACGATCAAACCATTGCAGCAGCTGCAGAAGCAGTTAATGGATCAGCCATAGCAGCAGCAGCAGCTACTCGATCAAACCATTGCAGCAGCTGCAGAAGCAGTTAATGGATCAGCTATAGCAGCAGCAGCAGCTACACGATCAAACCATTGCAGCAGTTGCAGAAGCAGTTAATGGATCAGCCATAGCGGCAGCAGCAGCTACACGATCAAGCCATTGCAGCAGCTGCAGAAGCAGTTAATGGATCAGCCATAGCAGCAGCAGCATCAGCTACACGATCGAGCCATTGCAGCATCTGCAGAAACAGTTAATGGATCAGCTATAGCAGCAGCAGCAGCTACACAATCAAGTCATTGCAGCAGCTGGAGAAGCAGTGAATGGATCAGCCATAGCAGCAGCAGCAGCTACACAATCAAGTCATTGCAGCAGCTGGAGAAGCAGTGAATGGATCAGCCATAGTAGCAGCAGCAGCAGCTACACGATCAAGCCATTGCAGCAGTTTCAGAAGCAGTTAATGGATCAGCTATAGCAGCAGCAGCATCAGCTACACGATCAAGCCATTGCAGCATCTGCAGAAACAGTTAATGGATCAGCCATAGCAGCAGCAGCAGCAGCTACACGATCAAGCCATTGCAGCAGCTGCAGAAGCAGTTAATGGATCAGCTATAACAGCAGCAGCAGCTTGTCAGACACAGCAGCAGCACCTACTGTCAGCAGCAACAGCAGCACCTTTGCCAGATAGAGCAGTCCCAGCGAGAGTTATAGGATCAGCCCTAACGACAGTGGCAGCAGTGAGAGGATCGATTCGTCATACACACAGCAGCCTGTCCACGCAGCTCTGCCGGATTTGTCAGCTGAGTCACGCTGGGGGGGGGGGGAGATGGACCAGGCTGTGCGTTCGAGCGTTACCGTGGCGATGGGGCCGTCCACGTGATAATCGAGGCTGAACACGTCCCAGCCCGTGTCTCCCGGAGACACCTGGGGACACACGGGGAGACACACGGGGACACACGGGGAGACACGGGGAGACACGGAGACACACGGAGAGACACGGGGAGACACACGGGGAGACACACGGGGAGAGACACATGAAGACACACGGGGAGACACGGGGAGACACGGGGAGACACGGGGAGACACGGGGAGACACGGAGACACACGGGGAGAGATACGGGGAGACACGGAGACACACGGGGAGACACGGGGGGACACACGGGGAGACATGGGGGGACACACGGGGACACACGGAGAGACACGGGGAGACACACGGGGAGAGACACACGGAGACACACGGGGAGACACGGGGAGACACGGGGAGACACGGGGAGACACGGGGAGACACGGGGGGCACACGGGGAGACACACGGGGAGACACGGAGACACACGAAGAGACACGGGGAGACACGGTGAGACACGGTGAGACACGGGGAGACACGGGGAGACACGGTGAGAGACGGTGAGACACGGGGAGACACGGGGAGACACGGGGAGACACGGGGAGACACGAGGGGCACACGGGGAGACACACGGGGAGACACGGAGACACACGAAGAGACACGGGGAGACACGGGGAGACACGGTGAGAGACGGTGAGACACGGGGAGACACGGGGAGACACGGGGAGACACGGGGAGAGACGGTGAGACACGGGGAGACACGGGGAGACACGGGGAGACACGGGGAGACACGAGGGGCACACGGGGAGACACACGGGGAGACACGGGGAAACACACGGGGACACACGGGGAGACATGGGGGGACACACGGAGAGACACGGGGAGACACACGGGGAGAGACACACGGAGACACACGGGGAGACACGGGGAGACGGTGAGACACGGTGAGACACGGGGAGACACGGGGAGACACGGGGAGACACGGTGAGAGACGGTGAGACACGGGGAGACACGGGGAGACACGGGGAGCACGGGGGACACGGGGAGACACACGGGGAGACACGGAGACACACGAAGAGACACGGGGAAACACGGTGAGACACGGTGAGACACGGTGAGACACGGGGAGACACGGGGAGACACGGTGAGAGACGGTGAGACACGGGGAGACACGGGGAGACACGAGGGGCACACGGGGAGACACACGGGGAGACACGGAGACACACGAAAAGACACGGGGAGACACGGGGAGACACGGGGAGACACGGGGAGACACGGGGAGACACGGTGAGACACGGGGAGACACGGGGAGACACGGGGAGACACGGGGAGACACGGGGAGACACGGTGAGAGACGATGAGACACGGGGAGACACGGGGAGCACGGGGGGCACGGGGAGACACGGTGAGACACGGGGGGACACGGGGAGACACGGAGAGACACGGTGAGACACGGTGAGACACGGGGAGACACACGGGGAGACACACGGGGAGACACACGGAGACACACGGTGGGGGACACGGGGAGACACGGAGAGACACGATACACGGGGAGACACACGAAGAGACACACGGGGTGAGATCTGTGAAGAATCGCAGGATGGCAAACGGACCGCGTGTCTACCCATCCCACGTACGTCTGCGTGTCCCCCCCCACCACATGCGTCGTGTCCCCCCCCACCACGTGCGTCGTGTCCCCCCCCACCACGTGCGTCGTGTCCCCCCCCACATGCTCGGTCCCCCCCACCACATGCGTCGTGTCCCCCCCCACCACGTGCGTCGTGTCCCCCCCCACCACGTGCGTCGTGTCCCCCCCCACCACGTGCGTCGTGTCCCCCCCCACCACGTGCGTCGTGTCCCCCCCCACCACGTGTGTCGTGTCCCCCCCCACCACGTGTGTCGTGTCCCCCCCCACCACGTGTGTCGTGTCCCCCCCACCACGTGCGTCGTGTCCCCCCCCACCACGTGCGTCGTGTCCCCCCCCACCACATGCGTCGTGTCCCCCCCCACCACGTGCGTCGTGTCCCCCCCCACCACGTGCGTCGTGTCCCCCCCCACCACGTGCGTCGTGTCCCCCCCCACCACGTGCGTCGTGTCCCCCCCCACCACGTGTGTCGTGTCCCCCCCCACCACGTGCGTCGTGTCCCCCCCCACCACGTGCGTCGTGTCCCCCCCCACCACGTGCGTCGTGTCCCCCCCCACCACATGCGTCGTGTCCCCCCCCACCACGTGCGTCGTGTCCCCCCCACCACGTGCGTCGTGTCCCCCCCCGCCACGTGCGTCGTGTCCCCCCCCACCACGTGTGTCGTGTCCCACCTCGAGGAGGCGCACGTCGAGGCGGTGGAGGATGTCGGGGCTGTCGAACTGGGCGTTGGTGGCGCGCACCGACGTGTCCAGGATGCCCGTCAGGTTGTGCTGGTACAGCGTGTTGGCTGGGCGCGCCAACTCGGGTCTGCGGGGGTGGGGGGTGGGGGGTTAGGGGGGGGGAGGGGGGGGGGGAGGAGGTGGGGGGTGAGGGGGGGGGGGAGATCATGAGGAGTAGAGGAAGAGGAGGGGGGGGAGGTCATGAGGAGGGGGAGGGGGGGAGGGAGAGAGGTCATGAGGGGGGGGAGGGAGATGAAGAGGAGAGGGGGAGGGGGGGAGGTCATGAGGGGGGGGGGAGGGAGGTCATGAGGAGGGGGGAGGGGGGAGGGAGAGAGGTCATGAGAAGGGAGGGAGGTCATGAGGAGGGGGGAAGGGGGGAGGGGGGGGGGGAGATCATGAGGGGGGGGAGTACCGCAAAGGTTCTCATTTGAGGCCGAGTCGACCGCAGGAATTCATAAAATAATAATGAAATAATAATAAAATATAAAACAATTTAATAAAAAAACAAAAACTCACGACGTTTCGATTGCGACACAGGCGGTCGTCATCAGGCGGAGAGAAAAGAAAATAAACGCCGTGAGTTTTTGCTTTTTATAAAAAATTAAATTTATTTTCTACCTTTGTGAATATGTGTCAACATCACCACCAGAGAGGCAACGGCGGTCGGGGTCATGGCTTCTTTCCAGAGGTCGCAAACGGGTTTTGATTCCGTACCCTCACCAGTACCCGTTTGCGACCCTGGTGCGGCCGGGTACGGGTACGGGTAGGCCGTGAGTCACTGGTGAGTCACCGTTTGTCACTCATTTCCCAACGTTTTGTCTCTTCTCACAATTCAAGTTCCTAGAATCAACCCACCCGCGCTTGCAAAATGGCTTCATCCCAGAGGCCGCAATCAGGTACTGCCAAAACCAAAAATAGCAGCGCTGTTAAACGCTGGGGATGTCAACAATTCGGTAAAATAGACTGGTACCTGTCAAATAAGATGGTAGGGTACGGACCCGTACCCTACCCGATACCCGGCAGGGTACGGGTAGCTGGGTACGGGTAGGGTACGGGTATCGGGTACCCGATTGCGACCTCTGGGATGAAGCCATGTTGTGGGCGCGGGTGGGTTGATTCTAGGAACTTGAATTGTGAGAAGAGACAAGACGTTGGGACATGAGTGACAAACGGTGACTCACCAGTGACTCACGGTCTACCCGTACCCGGCCGCACCAGGGTCGCAAACGGCTACCCGTACCCGATACCCGGCCGGGTACGGGTAGCCGGGTATCGGGTAGGGTACGGGTATCGGGTACCCGATTGCGACCTCTGGCGGCCTCTGTGCGAGCGAGCGAGAGACTCACTTGAGCAGGTCCATCAGGTGACGTATGAAGTCTCCCTGCCCCAGTAGCAGGTAGCGCCTCATGGCCTGCATGTGCTCCATGAGGTGGTAGCGCGAGTTCAACGTGTCCAGCAGGTGACGGCTCGTGCGTGCGTACACCGTGTCGATCTGCAGCTGGGACCACTCCCACTCGATGTCTGCACACAAAGACAAAGACACCCGATGTACAAACGTAGATATACGTAACTTCAGGCGTGATGATGGGTACAAACGGAGCGATCGTTGGAAAGATGTTGTTAACCATGTAAAAACGATTTAACTGTGCATATTTGTACCATCTTATTTGACAGGTACCAGTCTTCTTGGTTCTTTCGGTAAAGTCACGTAGAATTTAAACAATAAAATGCAAAAAATAAAACATAATAAAATACAATTCTCAAACATAATAAAATACAATTGTGAGGATTGTATTTTATTTCGATTTAAAGCTTTCGTGACTGCAGGGATTCATCTCCTTGGTTCTTTCGGTAAAGTCATCACGTAGAATTGAAATAATAAAATAATAAAAATAAAACATAATAAAATAATTCTCACGACGTTTCGGCCACAACGCAAGCAGACCTGTTCTTCACCTGAGGACGGCTGCTTGCGTTGTGGCCGAAACGTCGTGATAATAATTGTATTATGTTTTATTTTTATTTCATTATTTCCATTCTACGTGACTTTACCGAAAGAACCAAGAAGACGAGGTACCAGTCTATTTTACCGAGTTGTTGACATGCCCAGCGTTTAACATCGCTGCTATTTTTGGTTTTAGCAGTCAACCTTGAGGCCACGTGAAGTGTCGAACGCCCGCTGGCAGGAGGTCACGGGGCAGACCCAGCAGGTGCCACCGGTCGACTCACCGAGATGACCGAGATGACTGGCTGATGCACCACCTGTGCCCCCTACTGTGCCAACTTGCTGTGCTTTAGCCACCCGGCGATCCGCTCGTTGTTGTGAGCGTCGCTCCTCCGCCCTCCGTTGTTGTTGGAGGGCGACTGCCTCCAACTGCCCAGTAGCGTCCTTCACGAGCCTCCTCCACTGAGGCTGATCTTGACACCGCTGGTACCAGTCATCGTCAAGTCCAAAAGAACCAAGAAGATGAATCCCTGCAGTCACGAAAGCTTTAAATCGAAATTTAAGTCCACTCAGCTCCACGTCCTCCTGTACCACATCGCTCCATCTCTTCTCTAGCCCGTGCCGCGCCCGTTTAGCCCCCTCGATCCGCTGACAGGAGATCACGGGGACCGACCCATTTGACACTTCACGGCTAAACAAGCGGGGCGCGGGGGGGCGGGTGGTGGTGGTGGATCTTTGTCTTTGTGTGTTCCTCACCTCCGTCGCCAGCCGTGAGCCCGTGCCTTTGATCCTTGAGCTGCGAGCTGGGTCTGGGTCGTGTGCTCAGCGTCCGGTCCTGACACACCTGGTGCAGGAAGTTGATGGACTTCCCGATGGACAGCACCTGCAAAGCACAGAGATCCCACACCACCCAGCCGCGTCGCCTTCAACGGCTGTTTGGGGCAATACTCTTTGGTGCTTTCGGTAAAGTCACGTAGGTGAAACAATAAAATAATATAAATTAAATTAAATCACGACGTTTCCAACAGAACGCAGGTGTCTGATGACGGACGATTGTGTTGCGTTGGAAACGTCGTGATTGATACTAGTATACTACACTACACTATACACTACACTACACACTACACTAGACACTACACACTACAATATACACTACACTATACACTACACTACACACTACACACTAGTGCTGTACTAGTATACTACACTATACACTACACTATACACTACACTATACACTACACACTACACTATACACTACACACTACACTATACACTACACACTACACTACACACTATACACTAGACACTATACACTACACTAGACACTATACACTACACTATACACTACACTATACACTACACTAGACACTACACTATACACTACACTACACACTACACTAGACACTATACACTACACTAGACACTACACTATACACTAGACACTATGCGAGACACTACGCTAGACACTACACTATACACTATTATACACTACACTATAGACTACACTATACACTACTATATAAACTACACACTAGTTGTGTACTAGAATACTACACTATACACTACACTATACACTACACACTAGTGCTGTACTAGTATACTACACTATACACTACACTACTATACACTACACTACAGTAGAGTCAGCTGATACTACAGCCCCTATAGTAGATACTACAGTAGAGTCAGTTGATAGTGCTGACCCTATAGTACAGGGGTCCTCAAACTTTTTAAACAGGGGGCCAGTTCACTGTCCCTCAGACCGTTGGAGGGCCGGACTACAGTTAAAAAAAACTATGAACAAATTTCTATGCACACTGCATATATCTTATTTTGAAGTGAAGAAACAAAACGGGAACAAATACAATATTTAAAATGTAGAACAAGTAAATTTAAATCAACAAACTTGCCAGTATTTCAATGGGAACTATGGGCCTGCTTTTGGCTAATGAGATGGTCAATGTCCGGTTCCATATTTGTCACTGCAAGTCGTAACAAGTGATGCAAGTGTGCATCCGTTAGTCTAGATCTGGTTGGAGATTTCCAATGTTTCATTCTGGAAAAAGTCTGTTCACAGACATAAGTGCTGCCAAAGATGGTTGCCATTTTGAGTGCATGGTTCCTGAGATGAGGATATGTCTCAGAGGGGAGAGATGCATAGAAATTATGAAGGCTGCTTGACTTGATGTATTTTTCAGTTTTAATATTTTATCTTTTCTCACATCTCCGACAAAACAAGCATATTTATCTTTATGTTGAGTTTCATAGTGTCGACGTAAATTGTATTCTTTGAACACAGACATTATATTCTGGCATATCAGACACACAGGCTCTTTCCTTGTACTGCATGAAAAAGTAATCATAAGTCCACTGTTCTTTGAATATCCTACACTCCGAGTCAATTTTTCTCTTTCAATATATATACAGCGCTACAAAAACAATATACCAGCAATAACTTTGCCCACACAGAGACATACAGACTGCACTGCCCATCAATGCAGTCTGATTGGGGGAACTCCGCTTTTACCCCAGGCTCACACTGGTGTGGGTGCCATTAAAAAGTTAATGACACCTGCAGTTTTGTTCACAGATCGCAGTGCGATCTGCGAACTCGCGTAGGAATCTGATCGCATGGGGAGAAGACCCATGCGATCCGATTCCACTGCAGGAAAAAAGAAGGCACATGTGCCTTTTTTCTTCCGAATCTAATGCAAGTTCAGCCATACAAGCATATGGCTGAACTCGCACTGCTCAGATATCGCAACAGTATGAACCGGGGCTTACACAACATACAACATATAACCTCATACAACTGAATAGCAATCAGAATATAAATGCACTTACTGTCATTTAAATTGGGTTTCCTACTCCTCGGCTGTCTGTCACTGACCAACACGGGAAAACAGCAGGCAGCGCCTCCAGAGATCAGAGATCACTCTGTTATTACCCCTCTATCATTTACTCAGCGGTGCGTGTGCTGGGGATCTACATCCCCAGCACACAGGAATATCACTGGGAGTGGAGCCGAGGGGCAAGTGAGGGAGCTGAGGGAGGGAGAGCCAGTCAAGCGCAGCCAGGGGAGGGCTGGCAGCCTTAGGCCTGGGGGGCAAGTCCAGTCAATTGGCCCATTGAACCATTCACCACCGCAGCCCAATGAGTGCCCACCGCCGCAGCTCAATCAGTGCTCACCAGCGCAGCCCAATGAGTGCTCACCAGCGCAGCCCAATGAGTGCTCACCAGCGCAGCCCAATGAGTGCTCACCACCGCAGCCCAGTTAGTGCTCACGAGCGCAGCCCAATGAGTGCTCACCAGCGCAGCCCAATGAGTGCTCACCACCGCAGCCCAATGAGTGCTCACCAGCGCAGCCCAATGAGTGCTCACCAGCGCAGCCCAATGAGTGCTCACCAGCGCAGCCCAGTTAGTGCTCACCAGCGCAGCCCAATGAGTGCTCACCAGCGCAGCCCAATGAGTGCTCACCAGCGCAGCCCAATGAGTGCTCACCAGCGCAGCCCAATGAGTGCTCATCAGCGCAGCCCAATGAGTGCTCACCAGCGCAGCCCAATGAGTGCTCACCAGCGCAGCCCAGTTAGTGCTCATCAGCGCAGCCCAGTTAGTGCTCACCAGCGCAGCCCAATGAGTGCTCACCAGCGCACCCCAATGAGTGCTCATCAGCGCAGCCCAATGAGTGCTCACCAGCGCAGCCCAATGAGTGCTCACCAGCGCAGCCCAATGAGTGCTCACCAGCGCAGCCCAATGAGTGCTCACCAGCGCAGCCCAATCAGTGCTCACCAGCGCAGCCCAATGAGTGCTCACCAGCGCAGCCCAATGAGTGCTCACCAGCGCAGCCCAATGAGTGCTCACCAGCGCAGCCCAATGAGTGCTCACCAGCGCAGCCCAATGAGTGCTCACCAGCGCAGCCCAATGAGTGCTCACCAGCGCAGCCCAATGAGTGCTCACCAGCGCAGCCCAATGAGTGCTCACCAGCGCAGCCCAATGAGTGCTCACCAGCGCAGCCCAATCAGTGCTCACCAGCGCAGCCCAATCAGTGCTCACCAGCGCAGCCCAATCAGTGCTCACCAGCGCAGCCCAATCAGTGCTCATCAGCGCAGCCCAATCAGTGCTCACCAGCGCAGCCCAGTTAGTGCTCACCAGCGCAGCCCAATGAGTGCTCACCAGCGCAGCCCAATGAGTGCTCACCAGCGCAGCCCAATGAGTGCTCACCAGCGCAGCCCAGTGAGTGACCATGGGCCGGATAAATGTCCTCGGCGGGCCGCATGTGGCCCGCGGGCCGTAGTTTGAGGACCCCTGCTATAGTAGATACTACAACAGATAGTACTGCCCCTATAGTAGATACTACAACAGACACTACTGCCCCTATAGTAGATACTACAACAGATAGTACTGCCCCTATAGTAGATACTACAACAGACACTACTGCCCCTATAGTAGATACTACAACAGACACTACTGCCCCTATAGTAGATAATACAACAGACACTACTGCCCCTATAGTAGATACTACAACAGACACTACTGCCCCTATAGTAGATACTACAACAGATAGTACAGCCCCTATAGTAGATACTACAACAGACACTACTGCCCCTATAGTAGATACTACAACAGATAGTACAGCCCCTATAGTAGATACTACAACAGACACTACTGCCCCTATAGTAGATACTACAACAGATAGTACTGCCCCTATAGTAGATACTACAACAGACACTACTGCCCCTATAGTAGATACTACAACAGACACTACTGCCCTATAGTAGATACTACAACAGACACTACTGCCCCTATAGTAGATACTACAACAGATAGTACTGCCCCTATAGTAGATACTACAACAGATAGTACTTCCCCTATAGTAGATACTACAGTAGATAGTACTGCCCCTATAGTAGATACTACAACAGATAGTACTTCCCCTATAGTAGATACTACAGTAGAGTCACTACTGCCCCTATAGTAGATACTACAGTAGATACTACTACCCCTATAGTAGATACTACAACAGATAGTACTGCCCCTATAGTAGATACTACAACAGACACTACTGCCCCTATAGTAGATACTACAACAGACACTACTGCCCCTATAGTAGATACTACAACAGACACTACTGCCCCTATAGTAGATACTACAACAGATAGTACTGCCCCTATAGTAGATACTACAACAGACACCACTGCCCCTATAGTAGATACTACAACAGACACTACTGCCCCTATAGTAGATACTACAACAGACACTACTGCCCCTATAGTAGATACTACAACAGACACTACTGCCCCTATAGTAGATACTACAACAGATAGTACAGCCCCTATAGTAGATACTACAACAGACACTACTGCCCCTATAGTAGATACTACAACAGACACTACTGCCCCTATAGTAGATACTACAACAGACACTACTGCCCCTATAGTAGATACTACAACAGACACTACTGCCCCTATAGTAGATACTACAACAGACACTACTGCCCCTATAGTAGATACTACAACAGATAGTACAGCCCCTATAGTAGATACTACAACAGACACTACTGCCCCTATAGTAGATACTACAACAGACACTACTGCCCCTATAGTAGATACTACAACAGATAGTACTGCCCCTATAGTAGATACTACAACAGACACTACTGCCCCTATAGTAGATACTACAACAGATAGTACTGCCCCTATAGTAGATACTACAACAGACACTACTGCCCCTATAGTAGATACTACAACAGACACTACTGCCCCTATAGTAGATACTACAACAGATAGTACTGCCCCTATAGTAGATACTACAACAGACACTACTGCCCCTATAGTAGATACTACAACAGACACTACTGCCCCTATAGTAGATACTACAACAGACACTACTGCCCCTATAGTAGATACTACAACAGACACTACTGCCCCTATAGTAGATACTACAACAGACACTACTGCCCCTATAGTAGATACTACAACAGACACTACTGCCCCTATAGTAGATACTACAACAGACACTACTGCCCTATAGTAGATACTACAACAGACACTACTGCCCCTATAGTAGATACTACAACAGATAGTACTGCCCCTATAGTAGATACTACAGTAGAGTCACTACTGCCCCTATAGTAGATACTACAGTAGATACTACTGCCCCTATAGTAGATACTACAACAGATAGTACTGCCCCTATAGTAGATACTACAACAGACACTACTGCCCCTATAGTAGATACTACAACAGATAGTACTGCCCCTATAGTAGATACTACAACAGATAGTACAGCCCCTATAGTAGATACTACAACAGATAGTACTGCCCCTATAGTAGATACTACAACAGACACTACTGCCCTTATAGTAGATACCACAACAGAGTCACTACTTCCCCTATAGTAGATACTACAACAGACACTACTGCCCCTATAGTAGATACCACAACAGAGTCACTACTTCCCCTATAGTAGATACTACAACAGACACTACTGCCCCTATAGTAGATACTACAGTAGATAGTACTGCCCCTATAGTAGACACCACAACAGAGCGAGATGTTTGGGGTCTACTCCCATCACCTTCTGTGCCTGCTCGCTGGAGATGAAGGAGGGGATCATCGACTTGCGCAGCGAGTACTTGTCGTGCCACAGGCGCTCCGCTTTCACCGCAGGGTCGGCCGCCACGAAGAACTGGGGGGGGTGGGGGGTGGGGGGTGGGGGGGGCGGGGGAGTGGGGGGGTGGGGGGGTGGGGGGGGGTGGGCGTCACACCACGGCAGGGCGTGTCAACACGTAACGTAACGTCACAACACACCGTCACAACACAGCACGGCAGGGCGTGTCAATAGGTAGCGTGACGTCACAACACACCGTCACAACACACCGTCACAACACACCACGGCAGGGCGTGTCAACACGTAACGTGACGTCACACCACAGCACGGCAGGGCGTGTCAACACGTAGCGTGACGTCACACCACAGCACGGCAGGGAGTGTCAACACGTAACGTGACGTCACAACACAGCACGGCAGGGCGTGTCAACACGTAGCGTTACGTCACAACACAGCACGGCAGGGCGTGTCAACACGTAGCGTGACGTCACACCACAGCACGGCAGGGAGTGTCAACACGTAACGTGACGTCACAACACAGCACGGCAGGGCGTGTCAACACGTAGCGTTACGTCACAACACAGCACGGCAGGGAGTGTCAACACGTAACGTGACGTCAACACAGCACGACAAGGCGTGTCAACACGTAGCGTGACGTCACAACACACCACGGCAGGGAGTGTCAACACGTAACGTGACGTCACAACACAGCACGGCAGGGAGTGTCAACACGTAGCGTGACGTCACAACACACCACGGCAGGGAGTGTCAACACGTAGCGTGACGTCACAACACAGCACGGCAGGGAGTGTCAACACGTAACGTGACATCACAACACAGCACGGCAGGGCGTGTCAACACGTAACGTGACGTCACAACACAGCACGGCAGGGAGTGTCAACACGTAACGTGACATCACAACACACCACGGCAGGGAGTGTCAACACGTAGCGTGACGTCACAACACAGCACGGCAGGGAGTGTCAACACGTAACGTGACGTCACAACACAGCACGGCAGGGAGTGTCAACACGTAGCGTGACGTCACAACACAGCACGGCAGGGAGTGTCAACACGTAACGTGACATCACAACACACCACGGCAGGGAGTGTCAACACGTAGCGTGACGTCACAACACAGCACGGCAGGGAGTGTCAACACGTAACGTGACGTCACAACACAGCACGGCAGGGCGTGTCAACACGTAACGTGACATCACAACACAGCACGGCAGGGAGTGTCAACACGTAACGTGACGTCACAACACAGCACGGCAGGGAGTGTCAACACGTAACGTGACATCACAACACAGCACGGCAGGGCGTGTCAACACGTGACGTGACGTCACAACACAGCACGACAGGGCGTGTCAACACGTAACGTCACAACACAGCACGGCAGGGCGTGTCAACACGTAGCGTGACGTCACAACACAGCACGACAGGGCGTGTCAACACGTAACGTGACGTCACAACACAGCACGGCAGGGCGTGTCAACACGTAGCGTGACGTCACAACACAGCACGACAAGGCGTGTCAACACGTAGCGTCACACCACAACACAACACGGCGTGTCAACACGTAACGTAACGTCACAACACACCGTCACACCACACTACGGCAGGACGTGTCAACACGTGACGTGACGTCACAACACACCGTCACAACACGGCACGGCACGGCGTGTCAACACGTAACGTGACGTCACAACACACCGTCACAACACAGCACGGCAGGGCGTGTCAACACGTAACGTCACAACACAGCACGGCAGGGCGTGTCAACACGTAACGTGACGTCACAACACGACAGGGCGTGTCAACACGTAACATAACGTCACAACACACCGTCACACCACACCACGGCAGGGCATGTCAACACGTAACGTCACAACACAGCACGGCAGGGTGTGTCAACACGTAACGTGACGTCACAACACAGCACGGCAGGGCGCGTCAACACGTAACGTGACGTCACAACACAGCACGGCAGGGCGTGTCAACACGTAATGTGACATCACAACACACCACGGCAGGGCGTGTCAACACGTAACGTCACACCACAGCACGGCCACCACAACGATGCGGACACGACGCTGTGTGGCACACCACGAGGCGGCACAACACCGCCACGCCGCCACGCGTCATAGCGCGTGTCCCTGTGTGACGTCGTGTCCCTCTCACTCATCCTCCATGTCTCCCCGTGTCTCCTCGTGTCTCCCCCCGTGTGATCCCCCGTGTCTCCCCGTGCGTCTCCCCGTGTGTCTCACCCAGTGTCCCACCCCGCGTCTCTCCCCGCGTCTCACCCCGCGGGCCTCCCCGTGTCTCCTCATCCCCCGTGTGTCTCCCACCGTATCTGCCCCGGCGCCACCACGTGTCCACCACCACGTGTCTCCCCCAGTGTCTCCCCCAGCGTCTCCCCCCGTGTCTCCCCCCGTGTCTCCCCCAGTGTCTCCCCCAGCGTCTCCCCCCGTGTCTCCCCCAGTGTCTCCCCCCGTGTCTCCCCCAGTGTGATCCCCCGTGTCTCCCCGTGCGTCTCCCCGTGTGTCTCACCCAGTGTCCCACCCCGCGTCTCTCCCCGTGTCTCACCCAGTGTCCCACCCCGCGTCTCACCCCGCGTCTCACCCCGCGTGCCTCCCCGTGTCTCCTCATCCCCCGTGTGTCTCCCACCGTATCTGCCCCGGCGCCACCACGTGTCCACCACCACGTGTCTCCCCCAGTGTCTCCCCCAGCGTCTCCCCCCGTGTCTCCCCCCGTGTCTCCCCCAGTGTCTCCCCCAGCGTCTCCCCCCGTGTCTCCCCCAGTGTCTCCCCCCGTGTCTCCCCCAGTGTGATCCCCCGTGTCTCCCCGTGTGTCTCCCCGTGTGTCTCACCCAGTGTCCCACCCCGCGTCTCTCCCCGTGTCTCACCCAGTGTCCCACCCCGTGTCTCACCCCGCGTCTCACCCCGCGTGCCTCCCCGTGTCTCCTCATCCCCCGTGTGTCTCCCACCGTATCTGCCCCGGCGCCACCACGTGTCCACCACCACGTGTCTCCCCCAGTGTCTCCCCCCGTGTCTCCCCCCGTGTCTCCCCCCGTGTCTCCCCCAGTGTCTCCCACCTCGTGGAACGTGTCCTCGAGCTCCCCGTCGTAGATCCAGCGAGACAGCATCGTGTGCAGTGGCAGAGACACGAGGCCCAGCAGGTGACGCGCCAGCGAGCGGATGCACGGGGAGCCGGAGCGAGTGTACGCGTGCACGCACGAGGCCAGCTCCCCTCCCTTGCGGCCTGGACACCAGCGGCATCGTCATCATCGTCATCATCAGCGGCATCATCAATATCATCATCAGCGGCATCATCAGCGGCATCATCAGCGGCATCATCAGCAGCAGCAGCAACATCGTCGTCGTCATCATCATCACACAACAGGGAGCTGTCTCCCCTCGCTTCTGGCTTGTACATCATCAACATCATCAACAGCATCATCGTCATCAATATCATCATTAACATCATCAACATACACGCATTCTCAATGTACGTGTCCCCGTGTAAGCGTGTTCCTGTATTCGAAGCACGCCACAAGCGTGTGGGTAGCGTGTGGGTAGCATGTACAAGAGGTCGCAACCGGGTACCCGATATCCGTACTCTACCCGATACCCGGCTACCCGTACCCAGACGGGTACGGGTAGCCGTTTGCGACCCTGGTGCGGCCGGGTACGGGTAGGCCGTGAGTCACTGGTGAGTCACCGTTTGTCACTCATTTCCCAACGTCTTGTCTCTTCTCACAATTCAAGTTCCTAGAATCAACCCACCCGCGCCTGCAACATGGCTTCATCCCAGAGGTCGCAATCAGGTATCAGATACCCGTACCCTACCCGATACCCGGCTACCCATACCCGCCCGGGTACGGGTAGGCCGTGAGTCACTGATGAGTAACCGTGTGTCACTCATTTCCCAACGTCTTGTCTCTTCTCACAATTCAAGTTCCTAGAATCAACCCAGGTACTCGATACCCGTACCCTGGCCGGGTACGGGTAGGGTACGGGTACGGCCGGGTACGGGTACCCGTTTGCGACCCTGGTGCGGCCGGGTACGGGTACGGAATCAGAACCCGTTAGCGACCTCCGGCGTGTCCTCACCGTGGCAGCGATCTACGAGTGCGGCGAGCGAGTGGAGACGCTGCCTGGGCTCCGATGTCCACACGAGGAGACGGCGCAGGGTGAGGGAGCCCTCAGGGCCGACGTTCACACCCAGGTCCTCCTCCACGTTCAGCTGCGGCAGTCGACATCAACATCAAGATCACCGTCATCAAGATCACCGTCATCAACATCAACATCACCATCATCAAGATCACGGTCATCAACATCAATATCATCAAGATCACCGTCATCAAGATCAACATCAAGATCACCATCATCAAGATCACCGTCATCAAGATCACGGTCATCAACATCGATATCAACATCAAGATCACCGTCATCAAGATCACTGTCATCAACATCAAGATCACCATCATCAAGATCACTGTCATCAAGATCGCGATCATCAAGATCGATATCAGCATCATCAAGATCACCGTCATCAAGATCACTGTCATCAACATCAAGATCACCATCATCAAGATCACTGTCATCAAGATTGCGATCATCAAGATCGATATCAGCATCATCAAGATCACTGTCATCAAGATCGATATCAACATCAATATCACCATCATCAAGATCACTGTCATCAAGATCACTGTCATCAACATCGATATCAACATCAATATCACCATCATCAAGATCACTGTCATCAACATCACCATCATCAAGATCACTGTCATCAAGATCAATATCAACATCAATATCACCATCATCAAGATCACTGTCATCAACATCAACATCACCATCATCAAGATCACTGTCATCAACATCAAGATCACTGTCATCAACATCGATATCACCATCATCAACATCACGATCATCAAGATCACTGTCATCAACATCAACATCACCATCATCAAGATCACCATCATCAACATCAACATCATCATCATCAACATGAACATCATCAAGATCAACATCACCATCATCAACATCAATATCACCATCATCAAGATCACTGTCATCAACATCGATATCACCATCATCAACATCACGATCATCAAGATCACTGTCATCAACATCAACATCACCATCATCAAGATCACTGTCATCAACATCATCAAGATCACCATCATCAAGATCGATATCAACATCAACATCACCATCATCAAGATCACTGTCATCAACATCAACATCACCATCATCAAGATCACTGTCATCAACATCAAGATCACTGTCATCAACATCGATATCACCATTATCAACATCACGATCATCAAGATCACTGTCATCAATCAACATCACCATCATCAAGATCACCATCATCAACATCAACATCATCAACATCAACATCATCAAGATCAACATCACCATCATCAACATCAATATCACCATCATCAAGATCACTGTCATCAACATCGATATCACCATCATCAACATCACGATCATCAAGATCACTGTCATCAACATCAAGATCACCGTCATCATCAATATCACCATCATCAAGATCACTGTCATCAACATCGATATCACCATCATCAACATCACGATCATCAAGATCACTGTCATCAACATCAAGATCACCGTCATCATCAATATCACCATCATCAAGATCACTGTCATCAACATCGATATCACCATCATCAACATCACGATCATCAAGATCACTGTCATCAACATCAAGATCACCGTCATCATCAATATCACCATCATCAAGATCACTGTCATCAACATCGATATCACCATCATCAACATCACGATCATCAAGATCACTGTCATCAACATCAAGATCACCGTCATCATCAATATCACCATCATCAAGATCACTGTCATCAACATCGATATCACCATCATCAACATCACGATCATCAAGATCACTGTCATCAACATCAAGATCACCGTCATCATCAATATCACCATCATCAAGATCACTGTCATCAACATCGATATCACCATCATCAACATCACGATCATCAAGATCACTGTCATCAACATCAAGATCACCGTCATCATCAATATCACCATCATCAAGATCAACGTCATCAACATCGATATCAACATCAACATCACCACCAGGTTACGGGTAAGGAATCAAAACCCGTTTGCTACCTCTGAAGAGGACCAACACCGGGGTCCAGGCTCGAGTCGATTCGAAACCGGGGTGGGGAACGTCCGGCCCGCGGGTCTCACACGGACCTGCTCCAGCCATCGCGTTAAGGGGCGAGTTGATCAAATGTCCGACCAAATATAAGGGGACTAATTTTTAAATCCTTTTTATTAAGTTCAATCGCTTGCTTGCGCGCTTACGACCGTGCAAATCTTTTGGTCGTTTTTTTAACCCACTTCCCGTGATCCAATCGAGCTGAGATTTTGCACACAGACTCGTTGTGCGTGACAATTTATTTTCGTGAAAACATTTTTCCTAAATTTTCCACTTTTTAGGAATTTTATTTTTATATTAAATTACCAATTGCTTAATGGTGGCAGGCAATCATCTGACCCATAGGTGGCAGCCATCTCAAGCCAGAGGACGAGAGGACTCTAGCCGCCACGCATATAAAGGATTTATAGTGAAAAACTTAGTTTTAACGGGTTAATTTTTTTAATCGATCATTTTGTACGGCCCCGCGAATTATGTTGCGAACATCCGAATGTCCCTTGCCAGGAAAAACTTGCCCAACCCCCCGATTTCAAGTGACAAACCGGGTGCGATGTTGCGTTGCGCGGTGTGTTTCCGTCACCTGGGAGTGGAGCACAGAGATGAGCCGATAGAATTCTTTCAGCTCTTGATGAAGGGCGGCACAAAAGCTCTGTGAACACGGGGACACACGGTTACACCTACGGAGGCTGGCTCGCACCCCACGAGAGGGTGGGTATGATCAGCAGCACGCTGCCCGGTGCAGTCATGTTTTAGGCCCAGCTGGTTTCAGGATACAAAAAATTAACCCGTAAAAACAAAGTTTTTCACTATAAATCCTTTATACGCGTGGCATCGGGGCGGCTAGAGTCCTCTTGTCCTCTGGCTTGAGATGGCTGCCACCTATGGGTCAGATGATTGTGTGCCAGCATTAACCAATTGGTAAAAAAATATTTTAAAAAATTTCCCTAAACAGTGTCAAATTTTGGAAACATTTTTTCACGAACATTAATTGTCACGCACAACGAGTCTGTGTGCAAAATGTCAGCTCGATTGGATCACGGGAAGTGGGTTAAAAAACGACCGAAAGATTTGCATGGTCGTAAGCAAGCAAGCGAACTTAATATAAAGGATTTAAAAAATCTGCGATGATGTTTGGACCATTGGCCAACAATTCTCCTGTTTGGTGAATGCTTCCTCTAAGGGCTGAACACGTGGGCAGTTTGTTATCGATGCTTTGGGGCCGTCCCTAAATGACGTCATGCACCCGTGGGGGGTGGGGGGGGGGGTCAGACATTTGTGACGATGTGTGACGAGGGGGGGGGGCGGGGGGTTGAGAAATGCGACGTCACATCAAAATGCGCAACTTTAAATGAATATAGACAACACGTTCTACTTAAATTCTTGGTTCTTTCGGTAAAGTCACGTAGAAGGGAAATAATTAAATAAGAAATAAAAATATTAAGCAATAAAAAAAACAATAAAAATTCTCACAACTTGTTAGAATTCACAATTTGTCAAAAAAAAATTCTTATTTTATTATTTCCCTTCTGCGTGACTTTACCGAAAGAACCAAGAATATGAATCCCTGCAGTCACGAAAGCTTTAAATCAAAACGTTCTACTTAATTGAATAGACTTTCTAATAATAAATGTTTTCTCCTACAACATCAGAGTGCAGCGCCACATTAAATACGCACTTCAATGACAATAGTTTAAAGCGATTTGAAGCAGTTTTATTTTCAAAATAGAAATATGGTTGGGGGGGGGGGGGCAGAGCTTTGTGACATCATATTTGAGGGGGGGGTGGTCTGACTTTTTGTGACACCGTGTGACGAGGGGCTGGGGTAAAAAATCGTTCAAAATCGCGTGACGTCATTTATGGACAGCCCCTTAGCTCCCGTGGTATACCCCGCACGCTTAGCCTGAACAAAACGACTGTTTAGAACCTTTTCTCTGCCAAGGGACATTCGGATATTTGCAACATCATTCGCGGGGCCGTACAACATTATCAACTTAAAAATTAGCCCCGTTATATTTGCTAAAACATTTCATTAACTCGCCCCTAATGCGACGGGCTCGAAAACTGCTTCTCTTTGGCGAGGCGTGATGACATTAGCCGGTGTTGATGATGTTGCTGCTACTCGCAACTGCTCCTAGATTGATTGAATTTCGAGTCCCGCCTGTGGTTGCCTTGGCAGGGCCAGACCCAAATGATTTTGTGGGGCCTCGTACACCAGAGGTTGCAACCGGGTACCCCCCGATACCCGTACCCTACCCGATATCCGGCCTGGTGCGGCTGGGTACGGGTACGGGTAGACCGTGAGTCACTGGTGAGTAACTGTTTGTCACTCATTTCCCAACGTCTTGTCTCTTCTCACAATTCAAGTTCCTAGAATCAACCCACCCGTGCCTGCAACATGGCTTCATCCCAGAGGTCGCAATCGGGTACCCGATACCCGTACCCTACCCGTACCCGGCCGGGTACGGGTACCCGTTTGCGACCCTGGTGCGGCTGGGTACGGGTACGGGTAAGGAATCAAAACCCGTTTGCGACCTCTGCCCCACACCCTGCCCAAGTGTAAATGTTTACACATCGCACCAGCTACTCATGTGAAGGCTGAGCGGACCTATGTATGTATATACAGAGATCTTATTTCACAACGTACGTAGTCAACCGTGATAATCGGGGAGGCGCAAAGACTGGTTCGGATATTCGCCGATGTTGGCTGCCCGAACTCACTCACTCGGCTGCCCCCAACTCACTCACTCAGCTGGCTCCAACTCACTCACTCAGCTGCCCACCCACTCACTCAGCCCCTCCACCCACTCACTCAGCTGCCCCCCCACTCACTCAGCTGCCCAAACTCAATCACTCGGCTGCCCCAACTCACTCACTCGGCTGCCTCCAACTCACTCACTCAGCTGCCCACCCACTCACTCACTCAGCTGCCCCCCCACTCACTCAGCTGCCCCCCACTCACTCAGCTGCCCCCACTCACTCAGCTGCCCCCCACTCACTCAGCTGCCCCCACTCACCCACTCGGCTGCCCCCACTCACTCACTCGGCTCCCCCCACTCACCCACTCGGCTGCCCCCACTCACTCGGCTCCCCCCACTCACCCACTCGGCTGCCCCCACTCACTCAGCTCCCCCCACTCACTCACTCAGCTGCCCCCCCCACTCACTCAGCCCCCCACTCACTCAGCCCCCCACTCAACTGCCCCACTCACTCAGCTGCCTTCACTCACTCAGCTGCCCCCCCACTCACTCACCTGCCCCTCCCCCCAACTCAGCTGCCCCCCCTCCCCCCCACTCACCTGCCCCACGAGGCCGAAGGCACGGTCGAGGGCGCGCTGGTCGACGTACTTGCGCACTTTGTTGTGCAGCCATCCGATCTCCGAGAGACGCGACGTCACGTCCCGCAGAGACTTGGGGGCGCCCACCTAATTATAGAGACAAAAATAAAATATTAAAAAAAGTTATTTGAAAAAACACGCTTTCATGAAATGTACCCTACTCGTAATGGAAGAACTCCACGACTCCAGGAAGTGGCCCCGAAGCTTGCCACAACGTAAGGGGCCGTGGTGATTGACAGCCAACGTCAGTTGAGCGTGGACAATTAGACCCAAGCCAAAACATAACATATAAAAAAGAATGTTTAAAAAAATATATTTAAATTTTTTATGATAGAATATGGTATTGTCATCAGTACGACATAATTATACCAAGTTTGCAGTCGATACCACATTGGGAAGTGGGTTAAAATTGAGTTACTATTATACAAACAAATATTTAAAAAACACGCTTTAATGAAATGTACTGTCTGAGCTGCACCTCCCCATGCCCCCTTCCCCCATCGCCCCTCCCCTCCTTCCCCCATCCCCCGCCCCTGGGCGTGGCTCCCCGAGGCTTGCCGTGACGTCAGGGACCACGTGGTGATCGACAGGCAACGTGAGTTGAGAACGTGGACAATTAGAGATGTAAAATAGATCGTTTAAAAATATCTATTTTTTTAATTTTCAATGATCGAATATAGTATTTCGATTTAAAGCTTTTGTGACTGCAGGGATTCATCTTCTTGGTTCTTTCAGTAAAGTCATCACGTAGAAGGGAAATAATAAAATAATAAAAATAAAACATAATAAAATAATTCTCACGACGTTTCGGCCACAACGCAAGCAGCCGTCCTCAGGTGAAGAACAGGGATGTCGGAAAGACAGCGTCATTCACATCATCATCAACATCATCATCATCAACATCATCATCATCCTTAACATCAACATCATCATTAACATCAACATCATCATCATCTACATCATCAAAATCATCTTTTTTTTTCGATTTAAAGCTTTCGTGACTGCAGGGATTCATCTTCTTGGCTCTTTCGGTAAAGTCATCACGTAGAATGGAAATAATAAAATAATAATAAAACATAATAAAATACAATTCTCAAACATAATAAAATACAATTGTGAGAATTGTATTTTATTTCGATTTAAAGCTTTCGTGACTGCAGGGATTCATCTTCTTGGTTCTTTCGGTAAAGTCACGTAGAATGGAAATAATAATATAATAAAAATAAAACATAATAAAATAATTCTCACGACGTTTCAGCCACAACGCAAGCAGCCGTCCTCAGGTGAAGAACAGGTTTGTCGGAAAGACAGCATCTGAATGTGTAATCATTGCGCAATGGTTGCACGTGTTTCTAACGGGGGTTCAGGAGAAAGGGGGTCCCACCTTAGGGTCTATAAGGTAGGCACCCTCGGTGGGGCTCAGCCGCACGTAGGTTCCCTCAATCCCCTGGAAGACGTAGAGCAGATCGCGAACCAACAGCGACTCCGAAAGCTCCACAGAGGCTGGGCACACACACACACACACACACACAACACACACACAACACACACAACACACAAGGTGACATCAAACACAGCAGAGGCATCACCAAGACTACAAATTGAAACTATTTTTAAATCCTTTATATTAAGTTCGCTTGCTTGCTTGCTTAGGACCGTGCAAATCTTTCGGTCGTTTTTTAACCCACTTCCCGTGATCTAATCGAGCTGACATTTTGCATGCAGACTCGTTGTGCGTGACAATTAAAGTTCGTGAAATTTTTTTTCCAAAATTTTACACTTTTTAGGAAAAAATAAATTATATTTAATTACCAATTGCTTAATGGTGCAGTCCAATCATCTGACCCATAGGTGGCAGCCATCTCAAGCCAGAGGACGAGAGGACTCTAGCCGCCGCATATAAAGGCTTTAGAGTGCAAAGCTTTGTTTTTACGGGTTATACTTATTTTATTTTACCAACTAAACGGCCACATCTATTAGCTGGAGGCCACGGACTGCGCCACGGAGCTTTTAGCGAGCGGTAAACACAAGGTGTTTACCGGGGTAATTCTTCCGCGCTACCTTAACCCTACCCTTGACCTTACCCCTTGGCATGTCGACACCTTCCCCCTTTTACCCGGTAAAAAGGGTAAATTACTTTACTTTGCCGAGGCCTCGCACAACGCTCGACCGCCCCAGGTACTCATTTGTGGCCGAGTCGACCCAGGGGAGGCCCAGGACGGGCTCAAACAATCGCCGCGCGGTGCTGATCGCCACGCCGCCACCACCACCCCGTACAACAACAACAACAACCGCCATTCGCCACTAAGTGGCGGTGACGTCACCACGACGCTTGTGCCAGGCCAAGTGCACCTTGAGGCTATCACGTGAAGTGTTGAACGCCCTGCTGGCAGGAGGTCACGGGGCAGACCCAGCAGGTGCTACGGGTCGACTGACTGAGACGAGTGGCTGATGCACCACCTGTGCCCCATACTGTGCCAACTTGCTGTGCTTTAGCCACCCGGCGCTCCGCTCGTTGTTGTGAGCGTTGCTCCTCCGCCCTCCGTTGTTGTTGGAGGGCGACTGCCTCCAACTGCCCAGTAGCGTCCTTCACGAGCCTCCTCCACTGAGGCCGATCTTGACACCGCTGGTACCAGTCATCGGCAAGTCCACTCAGCTCCACGTCCTCCTGTACCACATCACTCCGTCTCTTCTCTAGCCCGTGCCGCGCCCGTTTAGCCCCCACGATCCGGCCGAACAAAAGCTGTCTAGGCATGCGGTGGCTGGGCATGCGGGCGACATGACCCAGCCAACGCAGCCTTGCCTGCCGGAGGAGCTCACCGATGGGACTTTGCCCAGTACACTCACACAAACACTCACACACACACTCACACACTCACTCACACACTCACACACACTCACACTCACTCACACTCACTCACACTCATAAACACTCTCACTCACTCACACACACACACACTCTCACTCACACACTCACACACACTCACACACTCACTCACACACACACACACTCTCACTCACACACTCACACACACTCACACACTCACTCACACACACACTCTCACACACTCACTCACACTCACACACACTCACACACACACACACACTCTCACACACTCACACTCTCACACTCACTCTCACACACTCACTCACACACACACTCTCACACACTCACACACACAAACACACACACGGATACTCACTGTTGATGTCGCCCTCGGCGCGTGCGCCGTGCGTGTCGCTGCGGGCCACAAGGCCGTAGGGCCCGGACTGCGCGTGCCACGCCTGGCGAGCCGTGCCGTCCGCCGGCGTGCGGTGAGACTGCCTGCGGCCACAGCGAGAAGGGGCGGCGGTGAGAACGGCGGTGAGAACGGCGGTGAGAACGGCGGTGAGAACGACGGTGAGAACGGCGGTGAGAACGGCACGCCGGGGGTAGCACTCCGCGGTTTTAGCGTTGCCGCGTGCCAAGTCGTGCGCGGTGAAAGTAGCGTGTCATCTGGCTAAGCGGTTTGACACGATGGATATCATCCACGATAGAGGTTTTTTGGGTGAGATCGCGTAAATATTTACGTCAAATGTGTCGTTAAAACCCCCTCTACCACCCGACACAGCCAACTCACGTTAAGGCCGTAATTATAATTCAAATATGCTCAAAATGTCCCCCCTCCAATATATTGCCAAAAAATAGATTTCTGTGTATGTGATTGTGGTTATGGTTGTACTTGATTAATCCCTAATCTCTGCCGTTACACTCAACGAAACAAGACAAGGTAACAAAGAAAAAACAGAGCACACAGAGCACACTATTAGACATTATTGTTATTGTTAAACAAAAAAAAAAATCCGTCCGATGAGTTAAGGAATTTTTAAATATTTTAGGCAGAAAATGGCAGGAAATTCTTTTCTGGGGGGGGCGGGGGGCCCCCCACACCCCCTGGCTGGGAGGTTTGGTCCCCCCCAATGTTGACTTCATGGCTACGGGCTTGTGTCACGTAAACACGTGGCCATGATCATTGGTTTTTTACCCTTCTATCTGGCAACAAAACTGATACCTTTTTTACAAAGAGTCATGTTTGCTTAGACCACAATACCTACAGTCATAATGCAAACAAAAAACACACAACTCTGATAATGTATGTACTGTCCTTGAAGTTGATTGGTCCACACCCGAGACAGCTTTCCTTAGAGCCTAGTCTCACATGGTGTTGGACCAGATGACGCCAAAAGGCGCACAACTCAAAGACAATGCACCATCAGAGTATGAGAGCTTGGGGTAAAGCATTTACACCATTGGAACCTCATTTGCCAGTAGCAAAATATGATCATTGGTTTTTTACCCTTCTATCTGGCAACAAAACTGACACATTTTTTTACGAGGAGTCATGTTTGCATAGACCACAATACCTGCAATCGTAATGCAAACAAAAAACACACAACTCTGATAATGTACGCACTGTCCTTGAAGTTGATTGGTCCACACCCGAGACAGCTTTCCTTAGAGCCTAGTCTCACATGGTGTTGGACCAGATGACGCCAAAAGGCGCACAACTCAAAGACAATGCACCATCAGAGTATGAGAGCTTGGGGTAAAGCATTTACACCATTGGAACCTCCTTTGCCAGTAGCAAAATATGATCATTGGTTTTTTACCCTTTAATCTGGCAAGAAAACTGACAACTTTTTTTACTAGGAGTCATGTTTGCATAGACCACAATACCTGCAGCCATAATGCAAACAAAAAACACAACTCTGAAACGTTCCATTCATTGGCTACCACATTCTGATAAGCTCCCCCCCCCTCTCCTCCCCCTAAACTTGTATTTAAGAGCTTGCATCTTGGAATCCCTGCCTCACTTGATGCAGCAAATCTGGCTGTGACGGTCCCACCTGATGACGGAGACTTGTGTTGCCTCCGAAACGTCGTGATTTTTATGATTTTATTTTTATTAATTTTTATTTCAATTTTCTACCTACGTAGTGACATTACCGAAAGAACTAAAAGTATGAATCCTTGCAGTCACGAAAGCTTCAAATCTAGAATTACATCTTTTCCCGTCAAAACACGACGTGTACCAAATTCGACGTATACTGAGCTATGACCGTACCCTATGTAGAAGAGTAAAATGGGGACGTGACGTCATGCGTGCCGTTCAGTGCGATGACGTCACGTCTCCTAGGCTACTTAAGGGAGACCCCGTGATGTAAGCGGGGTCACTGTGGAAACGGGTAGAGTAAGCAGGGTGAAGAGGGAACCAGTGGGTAGAGAGAGGGATCGAGTGGTGAGTCTGGGGAGAAGCCGGTGGTAGCCGTAGAGGTGCGTGTCTGTGTGTGTGTCTGTGTGTGTCTGTGTGTGTGTCTGTGTATTTGTGTCTTTGTCTGTGTGTGTGTCTGTGTGTGTGTCGGTGGAGTCGGCAGAAGAGTGAGTCTGGGGAGAAGCCGGTGGTAGCCGTAGAGGTGCGTGTCTGTGTGTGTGTCTGTGTGTGTCTGTGTGTGGTGACGTCACCGCCACTTAGTGGCGAATGGCGGTTGTTGTTGTTGTTGTTGTGTGTGTGTGTCTTTGTCTGTGTGTGTGTCTGTGTGTGTGTCGGTGGAGTCGGCAGAAGAGTGAGTCTGGGGAGAAGCCGGTAGTAGCCGTAGAGGTGCTTCTCTCTCCGCTCGGTGGAGTCGGCAAAGTCCACGATCCGACACGAGAGAGAGAGAGAGAGACCGGAGTTAGCCGACAGGGACCCGGACTCAGAATAGGGCCTCCCCTAGCCCCTGGGAGTTGTGCACCGTTGTATAATATTGTAACAGCTTTAATAAACCCTGGCGAAAGCCCCTTAACTTACCTCCGTCTACGAGTACGTCCGTCGGAACTTCTCTACGCCTGTATTCACGCGATCGCACCCAAAAACAAACCTCCACTGTGCATGGCGTGGCAGAGTATCGTGCACCGTGCAAACCCACCCCGGGTAGAGGCTTTCTGGCGTGGGCGTAGGCCCTCGCATCCCGCTGGGCGTGACGCTGCTAACTCCGCTGCTGCCGAAGCTAGCGGAACTCGCCAACACACCCCGCTGCTGCTGCTGCTGCTGCTGCTGCTGCTGCTGCTGCTGCTGCTGGTGCTGCTGCTGCTGGTGCTGCCCGGAGCAGGGCAGCATCCCGCCGCCGGTCTGCCCCACGCCGCTTGCCGCCTCAAGCAGGGGCAGCGGGAGGCTCTGTGGACGCGTTGCGGGGGTGGAGTGGACGAGGAGGGGCAGGCCGTTCCCAAAGAGCGCAGAGCCGCTCATCAGCTGTGCGCGCGGGCGGGCGGGAGGGCGGGCCGGGGTCAGAGAGGTCGTGCGTTAGGGTCGGTGGGGTACGGATGCTGTTGATGAGTGGACCGGTTAATTTATCGCCGATCGGACAATTTACGGATGTGGGCGTGGCGTTGCCAGTGGGGGCGTGTCTCTGCCCATATATGGTCTTGTGGATCGTGAATCGAGGAGTCGTTTCAATCGATTCTGCTCGCAGTCGATCCGAGAGTCACGTTTACATTTTAGGTCTCGGCAAGGTAAGGTAATTTACGATTAAAGTTTGATTTAAAGCTTTCGCGACTGCAGGGATTCATCTTCTTGGTTCTTTCGGTAAAGTCATCACGTAGAAGGGAAATGTTTGTTATGTTTTATTTTTGTATTTTATTATATTTTATTATTTTATTATTTCCCTTCCACGTGACTTTACCGAAAGAAGCACGAAGATGAATCCCTACATAATATTTAATTATGTTTTATTTTTATTATTTTATTATTTCCCTTCTACGTGACTTTACCGAAAGAACCAAGAAGATAATTCACCCTTTTTACCGGGTAAAAGGGTGCAGGTGTCGACATGCCAAGGGGTAAGGTCAAGGGTAGGGTAAAGATAGCGCGGAAAAATTACCCCGGTAAACACCTTGTGTTTACCGCTCGCTAAAAGCTCCGTGACGCAGTCCGTGGCCTCCATTTAAAATTGGAATCGTCGAAAGTATTCTATATGAATAAAGCGCTCTACCCAGCATTTACCCGTTACAAACCTTGTTCATGTGTAATAGTACCCCAGTAATTACCCTGTAATCGGGTCATTTGTATGGAGTGAGGGTAAAAGGTAGGGTAAAGGTAGGCTCGTTGCTTTTGACCATTTACCTTACCTTGCCAAAGGTAAGGGTAGCGTGATACTGATAGGAACCACCTGGTTCCACCAGCCCACAGGGGATTATTGTGTCCGTCCGTCGTGCATCCAAAAATGGGAGGGGTGGGACTGGTTGGAGAGGGGAGGGTGGGGAGGGGCTGGGTGGGGAGGGGCTGGGTGGAGAGGGGAGGGTGGGGAGGGGCTGGGTAGGGTGGGTGGGGAGGGGCTGGGTGGAGAGGGGAGGGTGGGGAGGGGCTGGGTGGGGAGGGTGGGGAGGGGAGGGGCTGGGTGGGGAGGGTGGAGAGGGGCTGGGTGGGGAGGGTGGTGAGGGGCTGGGTGGGGAGGGTGGGGCTGGGTGGGGGGTGGGGCTGGGTGGGGAGGGGCTGCTCACCCCGCGGTGCCCTTATAAAACTCAACGTTTCACCTACTCACGCCGGCTTGTGCCCGCCCTCACAGTCGGGCAAATTTGCGGAATACACCACGCCGCCGTTGACCCTGCAGGCCATTGACCGAGCAACCCGACGTTCCTACCAGCTCCCTCCGCAGCAGGAATGTGTTTGTATTGTGGTAAGGCAAAAGGCTCGTTGATTTCACCTTTCGCCTGACCTTGCCGAGGCCTATTTACCTTGGTGTGTAGCTTTCGTGGGTTCTCTGCCAGCGACAGCAGCAGGTAGAGAGCGGCCCAGCGGTTTCGCAGCACGGCCTGGATGTATCACAACGCGCCATCACACGGTGTTGATGCACCACGCAGCGAGGCCGACACGCAGGCTCCCACACACCGACGCACAGGAGCAACGCTAACTCAGAGCCTGGACGTTAACGCGAAGCCTCAACACTGACACGTAGCTTCAATATGAACACATGGCCTCAACGCTGACACACATTCTGAATACTGGCACATGCCCTCAACGCTGACACACAGCCTCAACGCTGACACACAGACACTGACACACAGTCTCAACACTGACACACAGACACTGACACACAGTCTCAACACTGACACACAGTCTCAACACTGACACACAGCCTCAACACTGACAGCTTCAACACTGACACACAGTCTCAACACTGACAGCCTCAACACTGACACACAGTCTCAACACTGACACACAGTCTCAACACTGATAGCCTCAACACTGACAGCCTCAACACTGATAGCCTCAACACTGATAGCCTCAACACTGACACAGACTCAACACTGACACACAGTCTCAACACTGACACACAGTCTCAACACTGATAGCCTCAACACTGACAGCCTCAACACTGATAGCCTCAACACTGACAGCCTCAACACTGACACACAGCCTCAACACTGACACAGACTCAACACTGACACACAGTCTCAACACTGACACAGACTCAACACTGACACACAGTCTCAACACTGACAGTCTCAACACTGACAGCCTCAACACTGACAGCTTCAACACTGACACACAGTCTCAACACTGACAGCTTCAACACTGACAGTCTCAACACTGACACACAGCCTCAACACTGACACACAGCCTCAACACTGACACACAGTCTCAACACTGACACACAGTCTCAACACTGACACACAGCCTCAACACTGACACACAGTCTCAACACTGACACACAGCTTCAACACTGACACAGTCTCAACACTGGCACACAGCCTCAACACTGACACACAGTCTCAACACTGACACAGTCTCAACACTGACACACAGCCTCAACACTGACACACAGTCTCAACACTGACACACAGTCTCAACACTGACACACAGCCTCAACACTGACACACAGCCTCAACACTGACAGCCTCAACACTGACACACAGCCTCAACACTGACACACAGTCTCAACACTGACACACAGCCTCAACACTGAGAGCCTCAACACTGACACACAGCCTCAACACTGACACACAGTCTCAACACTGACACACAGTCTCAACACTGACACACAGCCTCAACACTGAGAGCCTCAACACTGACACACAGTCTCAACACTGACACACAGTCTCAACACTGACACACAGCCTCAACACTGAGAGCCTCAACACTGACACACAGCCTCAACACCGTCTGTTCCATCTGGATGGGATAAAGCGTTTCTCCCTCGCACGTGTGGGTTTTCCTCGGGTGCTCTGGTTTCCTTCCACCGTCCATACTCATAGGCTGCTGAGCATTGGCCCCAAGATCTAAAACAGCCCAGCGTCAGAGGTCGCAACCGGGTACCCGATACCCGTACCCTACCCGATACCCGGCTACCCATACCCGGCCGGGTACCCGTTTGCGACCCTGGTGCGGCCGGGTACGGGTACGGGTAGATCGTGAGTCACTGGTGAGTCACCGTTTGTTACTTATTTCCCAACGTCTTGTCTCTTCTCACAATTCAAGTTGCTAGGATCAACCCACCCACGCCTGCAACATGGCTTCATCCCAGAGGTCACAATCAGGTACCCGATACCTGTACCCTACCCGTACCTGGCCGGGTATGGGTAGGGTACGGGTACGGCCGGGTACGGGTACGGGTACCCGTTTGCGACCCTGGTGCGGCCGGGTACGGGTACGGGTAGACCGTGAGTCACTGGCGAGTCACCGTTTGTTACTTATTTCCCAACGTCTTGTCTCTTCTCACAATTCAAGTTCCTAAACAGGGGTCGGCAACCAAAATAACAAGAAGAGCCATTTCTTTCCAATTCGGTACAAAATTCAGTATTTCAAGAGCCGCAATGCATCTGAGTACATACGTACTCATCGTCAAGAAGCAGCCCGTAAAGAGCCGCATGCGGCTCCGGAGCCGTAGGTTGCCGACCCCTGTCCTAGAATCAACCCACCCGCGCCTGCAACATGGCTTCATCCCAGAGGTCGCAATCAGGTACCCGATACCCGTACCCTACCCGTACCCGGCCGGGTACGGGTAGGGTACGGGTACGGCCGGGTACGGGTACCCGTTTGCGACCCTGGTGCGGCCGGGTACGGGTAAGAAATCAAAACCCGTTTGCGACCTTTGCCCAGCGTCCAGCTAACAAACAGCACTTTTTAATTTGGCGCTTTCGTGACTGCAGGAATTACTCTTTGGTTCTTTCGGTAAAGTCACGTATAAAGATAAAATAATAATACATTTATACCTGATGATTGCTTGTGTTGCAATCGAAACGTCATATACTAGTATTTAGCATTCTCAGGAAGAACGTAATCAACCAGGTAGGGTGTTGACTGTTATGTTATCCGACTCTCTGTTGTATTGCATTCCATTTCTGAGTATACTAGATTTGTGTTTCTATTTCATTTATACCTGATGACGATTGCTTGTGTTGCAATCGAAACGTCGTATGCTAGCATTTAATTTATTATTTTATCTTTATACGTCACTTTACCGAAATAACCAAAGAGTAATTTGCTGGACTATATAGTGATGGAACAGCAGATTCGGGCCCATGTCCTTGACACCAGGACCTACCGTGGAGCTGATCTGCCCTCTGACCATCGACTTGTCATCTGTATAATGCGCCTGCCATTCTTCCACTCCGAAAGAACCGAAGAGTAAACAACACTCTTATCACAGTTGTAACAGGTGAAGAGTTGACAGCTTCGGTGAGAACTGAGACGATGGGAGGGAATTCCGCAGAGTGGATGATGATGATGATGGAGGAGGAGGAGGAGGAGGAGGCTGTTTTTTGCCAGTTTAACACGCAGGCTTTCGCGACCAATATTATTCATAATCAACGTTTTTGGGTTTAGATCGCGTTATTTATAAATGTGTCGTAACCCTCCACCACACGACACGGCCAATCAGTAAAAAAGTGTCACGTTGACAAAAGACAAAATAGTTCACTGCTTGAGCCCACCGGTGTGTTGAAGCGTGAAACCACAACATTTACAATTTGAGTTGCACGACGTTTCGCTGGTAATTGCATCCAGCATCATCGGGCAATTCGCCAGTCACCTGGGTTTGTAGTTTCCGGTGGAGCTCGGAAAACAGCGCCGCGTCCGCCTCGCGCTTCTGCTTGGCGACTGAGCGCGTCGACAGAACATGGAAAATCACAACAACAATCAGCGTACGAGACACGAGGACACGACTAAAACTACAGCGATCCCTCGTTGATCGCGGTTAATGGGGACCGGAACTCCTCGCGATAGGTGAAAATTCGCGAAGTAGGATTGGCCCCCCTAGGAATTTCCGTATATGTGTGTGTGGGTACCAGAATGTTTAAACTATGTATATTTATGCTTTATATATATATTTTACTTAAATCTATTTAATTATAAAACCTTAATATTATACATTCACTCTCTCTCTCATACGATACGTATTATGTGGTGTTCTACACTGACCTGTTAATTTCGAACACAACACTAAGATACGCGATGATGCGCAGCCTATCAGCTCACGGGATACTGTACATCCACTCGTGCTCTCATTCATCGATCTCGTGCCGCCGGGAACCAATCACGTGCCTCGTCTGAGTGCCCGTGGGTACAGTATGTACAACGCCTCTGAGAAAGTTTCTCTCTTTGTCTGGCATCCTGGGAAACCGTTTCTCTCGCGCATCACGATGAATCAACAACGCTGCTTTCCGCAATACGGCTGCCGATATGGCGGTATTTTTGAATTTTTTTTTCGATGAATATTTTTGAAAAATCCGCGATGCACTGAGGCCGCGAAACTTGAACCACGAAGTGGCGAGGGATTACTGTATTCAACTATTTTTATTTGCCCAGGTAAGGACCACAGAGGTATGAGCTGTTTTTCAGAAGCGCCACAAATAACAGCTCAACTCAGTGGCTTCTCACGTGGAAATTCAAAGCAGCCAAAAACTCTAAACAAGTGACGATGATTTTAAATACGGAGGGGAAAAATCCACGCGACCACGGGGAGAGAGAGAGAGACTTGAAAATTCCAATTATACAGGTGTCAGGGTCGGGATAGAACTCACGACCTCCTGTATACCAGGCGAGGTAGTCAACATCTCCTCGCCACCGTGATGATGATGAGAGAGACATGAAAATTCCAATTATACAGGTGTCAGGGTCGGGATCGAACCCACGACCTCCTGTATACCAGGCGAGGTAGTCAACATCTCCTCGCCACCGTGATGATGAGAGAGACATGAAAATTCCAATTATACAGGTGTCAAGGTCGGGATCGAACCCACGACCTCCTGCATACCAGGCGACGTAGTCAACATCTCCTCGCCACCGTGATGATGATGAGAGAGACATGAAAATTCCAATTATACAGGTGTCAAGGTCGGGATCGAACCCACGACCTCCTGTATACCAGGCGAGGTAGTCAACATCTCCTCGCCACCGTGATGATGATGAGAGAGACATGAAAATTCCAATTATACAGGTTACAGGGTCGGGATCGAACCCACGACCTCCTGCATAGCAGGCCGGGTACGGGTAGGGTACGGCCGGGTACGGGTACCCGTTTGCGACCCTGGTGCGGCCGGGTATGGGTACGGGTAAGGAATCAAAACCCGTTTGTGACCTCTGCCCCCCTCCGTGCGGCCACTCACGCTCTTTCTTGATCTTCTCGGCCACGAGGAACTCATCGCGCTCCACCGTGGGGGTGAAGCTGCTTCCGATGACGCGCACCGCATACTGAAACTGGTGCCCAATCTCCGCTGTTAGGACACACACACACACACACAGACAAAGACAAAGGTCCCCCGTGTCGCCTCTATAAGACTTTTTAGGGCAAGTACCATACCTCTTCTTGGTTCTTTCGGTAAAGTCATCACGTAGAATGGAAGTAATAAAATAATAAAAATCAAACATAATAAAATACAAAAATAAAACATACTAAAATACAATTCTCAAACATAAAATACAATTGTGAGAATAGTATTTTATTTCGATTTAAAGCTTTCGTGACTGCAGGGATTAATCTTCTTGGTTCTTTCGGTAAAGTCACATAGAAGGGAAATAATAAAATAATAAAACATAATAAAATACAAAAATAAAACATTATAAAATAATTCTCACGACGTTTCGGCCACAACGCAAGCAGCCGTCCTCAGGTGAAAGACTGTCTTATCGACATACCTGTTCTTCACCTGAGGACGGCTGCTTGCGTTGTGGCCGAAACGTCGTGAGAATTATTTTATTATGTTTTATTTTTATTATTTTATTACTTCCATTCTACGTGACTTTACCGAAAGAACCAAGAAGATGAATCCCTGCAGTCACGAAAGCTTTAAATCGAAAAGTACCATACCTGATAACTGTTTTTTTACCCTTTTATCTGGCAACAAAACTGACACCTTTTTTTACAAGGAGTCATGTTTGCATAGACAATACCTGCAGTCGTAATGCAAACAAAAAACACAACTCTGATAATGTACGCACTGTCCTTGAAGTTGATTGGTCCACACCCGAGACAGCTTTCCTTAGAGCCGAGTCTCACATGGTGTTGGACCAGATGACGCCAAAAAACGCACCTTTTGGCGTCATCTGGTCTTCAAGGACAGTGCATACATTATCAGAGTTGTTTTTTGTGTTTGCATTATGACAGCAGGTATTGTGGTCTATGCAAACATGACTCCTTGTAAAAAAGGTGTCAGTTTTATTGCCAGATAGAGGGGTAAAAAAACAATTATCATATTTTTTACTGGCAAATCAGGTTCCAATGGTGCCCTACCTTATCACAGACCATATTCAGACACTTTATTGGTCAACTGACACCTTTTTTACGAGGAGTCATGTTTGCATAGACCACAATACCTGCAATCATAATGCAAACAAAAAACACAACTCTGATAATGTATGTGCACTGTCCTTGAAGTTGCTTGGTCCACACCCGAGACAGCTTTCCTTAGTGCCAATTAGCAAGGTAATTAACAGCCAATTAGAAAGGGGTTTGTCACGTAAACAGAACGTGGCCAATTCGTCACTAGTACAGCACTGGTGTGTAGTGTATAGTGTAGTGTATAGTGTAGTGTATCGTGTAGTGTAGTGTATAGTGTAGTGTATCGTGTAATGTATCGTATAGTGTAGTGTATAGTGTATCGTGTAGTGTATCGTGTAGTGTGCAGTGTAATGTATAGTGTATAGTGTAGTGTATAGTGTAGTGTATAGTGTAGTGTATAGTGTAGTAGTGTATAGTGTAGTGTATAGCAGTGTATAGTGTAGTGTATAGTGTAGTGTATAGTGAGTGTATAGTGTAGTGTATAGTGTAGTGTATAGTGTAGTGTATAGTGTAGTGTATAGCGTAGTGTGTAGTGTAGTGTATAGTGTAGTGTATCGTGTCGTGTATAGTGTAGTTTATAGTGTAGTGTATAGTGTAGTAGTGTATAGCGTAGTGTATAGCATAGTGTATAGTGTAGTGTATAGTGTAGTGTATAGTGTAGTGTGTAGTGTAGTGTATAGTAGTGTATAGTGTAGTGTGTAGTGTATAGTAGTGTATAGTGTAGTGTATAGTGTAGTGTATAGTAGTGTATAGTGTAGTGTAGAGTGTAGTGTATAGTGTATCGTATAGTGTATCGTATAATGTAGTGTATAGTGTAGTGTATAGTGGTATATAGTCTAGTGTAGTGTATAGTGCAGTGTATAGTGTAGTCTATAGTGTAGTCTATAGTGTAGTGTGTAGTGTATAGTGTAGTGTAGAGTGTAGTGTATAATGCAGTGTATAGTGTAGTGTATAGTCTAGTGTAGTGTACAGTCTATAGTGTAGTGTATAGTGTAGTATACTAGTACAGCACTACACCGGCTGTGTGTTGTGTTGTCGAGCAAAAGCAGCAACATTTAAAATCCGAGTACGACGTTTCACCTCTAATTTGCAACCACAACCAGTTTCATCAGGCGGACAGAGAGATTAGTGGAGACCCTGTATGGATGGATGGATGCGGCCTTAACGACGTAAATAAACACACGGGATGACACGCCCGAGTCGGAACACAATTAAACAATTGCGCGACGTTTAAAACAACAACGACAACCAAACAAACGAACGTTTAACGCGACAAAAAAAACAATAATTAAACTAAAATCGCCTCACACGCCACGCCGAATGCGGCTCACATTCGCTCTTGCCCAGGATCTGGCAACAGAGATTCTGCAGCAAAACGTTGGGAGATTTGTTATCCGAGTGCGACATCGTCGTCGTCCGCTGTGGTCGCTCGCCTTGACATCGAAGGCAACACGCTTAGTGCTGTGTTTAGTATGTTTATATTTAAAAAAAAAATTAATTTCCACTCTCCTCACAAAAGCGCCGCTCGCCGATTTCCCGCCCTCCGCTCGCGCCTCAGACGCGGGACGCCATCTTGGTTTCTAAGGTTTCCCGCCAAACTGTCACAGCAAACCGCGGCGGCCATCTTGGTAAGGGAGTGGTGCTGATGTGAGGTCCCAGCACAGCGGCGGGGGGCCACCCCTATCCAATATGGCGCGGGTGTGACGTCACCATCCCAGCCCGCTTCTGCACTCTATTGTGGAAGCAGCGCCCCCCCCTACCCAATATGGCGCGAGAATGACGTCACCGACCCAACCCCCCTATTGTTGAACCAGCGCCCCTCCCCTACCCAATATGGCGCGAGAGTGACGTCACCGACCCAACCCCCCTATTGTGGAACCAGCTGTAACAGGATAAAATGAATGACGAAATGAATGAAAAATTATGTTAATGTTTATAGGCCCAGCTGTAACAAGATAGAATGAATAACATATTGTGTGATGAATTATATTAATGTTTATAGGCCCAGCTGTAACAGGATAGAATGATTGACAGATTGAGTGATAAATTATGTTACTGTTTATAGGCCCAGCTGTAAGAGGATAAGATGAATGACAAAATGAATGATACATTATGTTAAAATTTTATAGGCCCAGCTGTAACAAGATAAAATTAATAACATATTGTGTGATAAATTATGTTAATGTTTTATAGGCACAGCTGTAACGGCATAAAATGAATGACAAAATTAATTATACATTATGTTAATGTTATTAGGCTCGGATGTAAGAGGATACAATTAATGACAGAATGAATGATAAATTATGTTAATGTTTTAGGCATAGCTGTAACAGGATGAAATGAATAACAGATTGAGTGATAAATTATGTAAATGTTTATAGGCCTAGCTGTAAGAGGATACAATTAATGACAAAATTAATGATAAATTGTTAATGTTTTAGGCACAGCTGTAACAAGATAGAATGAATGACAGATTGAATGATAAATTATGTTAATATTTTATAGGCCCAGCTGTAACATGATAGAATGAATGACAAAATGAATGATAAATTATGTTACTGTTCATAGGCCCAGCTGTAACGGTCTAAAATTAATGACAGATTGAGTGATAAATTGTTAATGTTTTAGGCCCAGCTGTAACAGGATAAAATTAATCCGTCACAAAATGAATGATAAATTATGTTCAGGTTTATAGGCCAGGCTGTAACAGGATAGAATGAATGACAGATTTAATGATAAATTATGTTACTGTTTTTAGGCCCGGATGTAAGAGGATACAATTAATGACATATTGAATGATAAATTATGTTAATGTTTTAGACATAGCTGTAACGGGATAAAATTAATGACAAAATGAATGATAAATTATGTTAATGTTTCAGGCACAGCTGTAACAGGATTAAATGAATGACAGATTGAATAATAAATTATGTTAATGTTTTCGGAACAGCTGTAACGGGATACAATTAATGACAAAATGAATGATAAATTACGTTAATGTTTCAGGCACAGCTGTAACTGGATAAAATTAATTACAAAATGTATTATAAATTATGTTAATGTTTTATAGGCCCGGCTGTAAGAGGATATAATTAATGACAAAATTAATCGTAAATTATGTTAATGTTTCAGGCACAGCTGGAACAGGATAAAATTAATCCGCCACGGAGATGTAGATGCCACTGGTTCTTCATGTTCTGCAGATGTAGATGCCACTGGTTGTTCACGTTCTGCAGATGTAGATGCCACTGGTCCTTCACGTTCTGCAGATGTAGATGTCACTGGTTCTTCATGTTCTGCAGATGTAGATGTCACTGGTTCTTCATGTTCTGCAGATGTAGATGCCACTGGTTCTTCATGTTCTGCAGATGTAGATGTCACTGGTTCTTCATGTTCTGCAGATGTAGATGCCACTGGTTCTTCACGTTCTGCAGATGTAGATACCACTGGTTCTTCATGTTCTGCAGATGTAGATGCCACTGGTTCTTCATGTTCGGCAGATGTAGATGCCACTGGTTCTTCACGTTCTGCAGATGTAGATGCCACTGGTTGTTCACGTTCTGCAGATGTAGATGCCACTGGTTCTTCACGTTCTGCAGATGTAGATGCCACTGGTTCTTCACGTTCTGCAGATGTAGATGCCACTGGTTCTCACGTTCTGCAGATGTAGATGCCACTGGTTCTTCACGTTCTGCAGATGTAGATGCCACTGGTTCTTTATGTTCTGCAGATGTAGATGCCACTGGTTCTTCACGTTCTGCAGATATAGATGCCACTGGTTCTTCACGTTCTGCAGATGTAGATACCACTGGTTCTTCATGTTCTGCAGATGTAGATGCCACTGGTTCTTCATGTTCTGCAGATATAGATGCCACTGGTTCTTCACGTTCTGCAGATGTAGATGCCACTGGTTCTTCACGTTCTGTAGATGTAGATGCTACTGGTTCTTCACGTTCTGCAGATGTAGATGCCACTGGTTCTTCACGTTCTGCAGATGTAGATGCCACTGGTTCTTCATGTTCTGCAGATGTAGATGCCACTGGTTCTTCACGTTCTGCAGATGTAGATGTCACTGGTTCTTCATGTTCTGCAGATGTAAATGCCACTGGTTCTTCACGTTCTGCAGATGTAGATGCCACTGGTTCTCACGTTCTGCAGATGTAGATGCCACTGGTTCTTCACGTTCTGCAGATGTAGATGCCACTGGTTCTTTATGTTCTGCAGATGTAGATGCCACTGGTTCTTCACGTTCTGCAGATGTAGATGTCACTGGTTCTTCACGTTCTGCGGATGTAGATGTCACTGGTTCTTCACGTTCTGCAGATGTAGATGCCACTGGTTCTTTACGTTCTGCAGATGTAGATGCCACTGGTTCTTCAAGTTCTGCAGATGTAGATGCCACTGGTTCTTCACGTTCTGTAGATATAGATGCCACTGGTTCTTCACGTTCTGCAGATGTAGATGCCACTGGTTCTTCATGTTCTGCAGATATAGATGCCACTGGTTCTTCACATTCTGCAGATGTAGATGCCACTGGTTCTTCATGTTCTGCAGATTTAGATGCCACTGGTTCTTCACGTTCTGCAGATGTAGATGCCACTGGTTCTTCACGTTCTGCAGATGTAAATGTCACTGGTTCTTCATGTTCTGCAGATGTAGATGCCACTGGTTCTTCATGTTCTGCAGATGTAGATGTCACTGGTTCTTCATGTTCTGCAGATGTAGATGCCACTGGTTCTTCACGTTCTGCAGATGTAGATGCCACTGGTTCTTCATGTTCTGCAGATGTAGATGCCACTGGTTCTTCATGTTCGGCAGATGTAGATGCCACTGGTTCTTCACGTTCTGCAGATGTAGATGCCACTGGTTGTTCACGTTCTGCAGATGTAGATGCCACTGGTTCTTCATGTTCTGCAGATGTAGATGCCACTGGTTCTTCATGTTCTGCAGATGTAGATGCCACTGGTTCTTCATGTTCTGCAGATGTCGATGTCACTGGTTCTTCATGTTCTGCAGATGTAGATGCCACTGGTTCTTCACGTTCTGTAGATGTAGATGCCACTGGTTCTTCACGTTCTGCAGATGTAGATGCCACTGGTTCTTCACGTTCTGCAGATGTAGATGCCACTGGTTCTTCACGTTCTGCAGATGTAGATGCCACTGGTTCTTCACGTTCTGCAGATATAGATGCCACTGGTTCTTCACGTTCTGCAGATGTAGATACCACTGGTTCTTCATGTTCTGCAGATATAGATGCCACTGGTTCTTCACGTTCTGCAGATGTAGATGCCACTGGTTCTTCACGTTCTGTAGATGTAGATGCTACTGGTTCTTCACGTTCTGCAGATGAGATGCCACTGGTTCTCACGTTCTGCAGATGTAGATGCCACTGCATTTCACGTTCTGCAGATGTAGATGCCACTGGTTCTTCATGCTCTGCAGATGTAGATGCCACTGGTTCTTAATGTTCTGCAGATGTAGATGTCACTGGTTCTTCACGTTCTGCAGATGTAGATGTCACTGGTTCTTCACGTTCTGCAGATGTAGATGCCACTGGTTCTTCACGTTCTGCAGATGTAGATGCCACTGATTCTTCACGTTCTGCAGATGTAGATGCCACTGGTTCTTCACGTTCTGCAGATGTAGATGCCACTGGTTCTTCACGTTCTGCAGATGTAGATGCCACTGGTTCTTCACGTTCTGCAGATGTAGATGCCACTGGTTCTTCACGTTCTGCAGATGTAGATGCCACTGGTTGTTCACGTTCTGCAGATGTAGATGCCACTGGTTCTTCATGTTCTGCCGATGTAGATGCCACTGGTTCTTCATGTTCTGCAGATGTAGATGTCACTGGTTCTTCATGTTCTGCAGATGTAGATGCCATTGGTTCTCACGTTCTGCAGATGTAGATGCCACTGGTTCTTCACGTTCTGCAGATGTAGATGCCACTGGTTCTTTATGTTCTGCAGATGTAGATGCCACTGGTTCTTCACGTTCTGCAGATGTAGATGTCACTGGTTCTTCACGTTCTGCGGATGTAGATGTCACTGGTTCTTCACGTTCTGCAGATGTAGATGCCACTGGTTCTTCATGTTCTGCAGATGTAGATGCCACTGGTTCTTCACGTTCTGCAGATGTAGATGCCACTGGTACTTCACGTTCTGCAGATGTAGATGCCACTGGTTCTTCATGTTCTGCAGATGTAGATGTCACTGGTTCTTCACGTTCTGCAGATGTAGATGTCACTGGTTCTTCACGTTCTGCAGATGTAGATGCCACTGGTTCATCACGTTCTGCAGATGTAGATGCCACTGGTTCTTCATGTTCTGCAGATGTAGATGCTACTGGTTCTTCATGTTCTGCAGATGTAGATGCCACTGGTTTTTCACGTTCTACAGATGTAGATGCCACTGGTCCTTCACGTTCTGCAGATGTAGATGCCACTGGTTCTTCACGTTCTGCAGATGTATTTGCCACTGGTTCTTCACGTTCTGTAGATGTAGATGCCACTGGATTTCACGTTCTGCAGATGTAGATGCCACTGGTTCTTCATGTTCTGCAGATGT